ATACAATTCATCAAGATCATCAGGAACCACGTATGTGTCATGAAAGGATGAGCCTGTATCCTTAAGACCTCCGTATGCACCTTCACCTGCAGCATATTTGATAAGAGCTGTGTTGTTGTCATCACGGGGCGTGGACAGAGCTACCTGTGTAAAAGAGTGAGAGCCAACAAAATTCTTCTTCAGAGGTCACTATCACCATCTTATATATCTTCAGCTGATGTGTATTTTTGATGAGAAATCAAACAATGAACTTTACTGTCTTCACAGATTATAACAGCTAAAGATACACACAGTCACTGAATGATGAAAACTGAGAAATAACCAAATGTATCTGCCACCAAAACAGAAAATATGTTCAAGACCTTCAGCATAGCTTTCCATACAAAAGTGTAAAAGTGTCATTGATTATTTGAAATGAATTAAAGTTTCATTGAAGTGTGATTGAAGGATGTTTTACTACCAAATTATTCTCACTTATTAACTTTCAAATCAAACAATGGAAAAGTTGTGTATGTACAAATGTACCAGTATAGATGAAGGCTGACATAAAAATGTCCATTTGAAGAATGTGAATCACTTACAAGAGGTAGAGTCTGAGCTTTATCACACCGTTTGGAGCCACGGTCAGGTGAGGCAGAATCATCGAAAGTAGGAGAAATATTCTAGAAGGATTGAGTTAAAGACATTGTTGTAAAAGTAAACAAGAGGGTTTAAAACATTGCTAACTGATGGAGTCTAACTTGTTTTGGCAGGCAACTATAAAAATGAGACCACAAAAATCTTCACACAGCTTTTCTGCAGTTTCCAGTTTAAATAACATTTTTGACATTAAGAATTTGTTAATTTCTGACTCCTTAAACAGTCCACAACCTGTCAGCAGAGAATGTAAATGAAATGTAAATGTGTTTTCATAATGTAACTATAACTGCTACTGTTCAAAAGTTGGAATCATGGATTTTTTTTGATGTATAAAATGAGCAAAGAGGTAAAACAAATATATAAAATGATTCTAATATGCTAGTAAAGCACAACTTCACAGAACATTATTGAATAAGTTTATAGTATTAAATAAGGTTTGTAGGGAGATTAAAATCAATAAATTAATAAATAAACCTTAAGAAATGTTAGATGTGTCCAGAACGATGAACAAATTTGCATATGATTGAAACAACAGCCTGAAGTTAAATTTGTGTCCATAATATCTTGCGTTTTACATCTTAAAGCAAATAACATAAAATTCCTAGGAACAGATAATTACAGGATACTATTTATCCTTGAATACTATTTGGAAAATACTGAAAAACAACTAAAATCATATTATTTTGTCTAAATTAGACTAATGTTCCCCTTACATGGTCAGGACCCACCCGTGGGCCCAAATCATGTTCACTCCTGACAATCTTTGTACAGGCTTCCAGTCCCCATCACCGCAACACCAGAATACTGCTATGGGAACTCCTGGTCATCCCCCTGGTGGCCATTCTAGCTTAATTACTTGCTTTTCTAGAGCACTCTCTTTATTCCTGGAAGTTTTACATTATTGCCAATTAAAATCTCTCAGAATTCTGAATCTCTTTTGATTTTTTAACCAATACCTCCGCCAATTCTCTGGACTTCATTGATATTTGGGATTGTTTTCCTTGTTTTTGTAATTTTTCTTTAATTATCAATTAAATCAACTAATCAATTGAGTTTGATCTTTATCCTGTTTTTTGAAACTTCCCATTAATAAAATCATGCAAAAATATCCTACTCAAGTAAAACCCTCTGTTGTTACATTTTTTTTCAGCAGAGAACTAAATTTATATTTATGTCATATGATTAACTATTACTTATCAGAATATATCTTTTATTAACATTTTTTGAGTTCTATTTGCTTATTAGCATACAAGGTCAAAGAAATGTAATTTACTTATGACTTTCAGGACTTTATTTGAACTACCCTAGTATTTCTACTTGAATCATAATTATTATTATTGAAGTTCCAGCACTTTCCTTGAGTATTGTGTTGGATGGCTCTATCCATGCATTGCTGATTCTACAGTAACCCTTCCTCCTTTGACCAACACAACATAATTAATCAGCCAATAATGACTTGAATCAGGTCGCTGGTACCTGTAAAGAAGAAAATATAAGGTTAAATATAGCTAGCTGAGCAATCATTCTTAAGATAAACGTGCACGTGTATGTATGAAGAAAATGGCTATTGTATGCATGTATATAGGTGATTTGTGTGTGTATTGTTTGTTCTATTGTCACCCCCAAACTGTGAATAATGGTATGACCCAGAATTAATGAGGGAGGGGCTACCAGGTTAAAAGGGAAGGGGGACAATGGAGGGGGGAAGGTATGTTTGGGGAAGGTCTGTGCGGCTTCGCAGCCTCAGACCCAATGTCACAGACCCGCTTTAGTTCTGTGTGAGACAAATGGCTGCCGGATGCTGACTGCGGAGTCAGTGGAGTCATTTGGCAGCTTTGTTCTCACGAGTGTAAATACTTCTGTGTGCAAAACCACAATAAACTTTAGAGCACTGTGGAATTGAGACCCTGATGCCCAAGAGTGTTGAATGCGGAGCCTCCAGACCACTTATTGACCGCAACACCACCAAAGTGGCGACCACACATATCACAACAAACCACAGAAAACATCTCAGTTTTGACATCTCAGATGTACTGGGCAGGGGCAAGGCATCATTGAATGGTGGCTTCAACTGAAGACCCTGCAGCAGACCTTGGCAGTTGGCATCCAGGGAAGAATAGAGGATATCCAAGAAAGACCACTGAACAGCAGGAGAAACTGAATTAGGAGTAGATGGTTAGTCATTTCATTTGTAGTCATTCGGTCAGATGAAAGAGACCCAAGGCCAAGTAGATACCACAGAGTGGAGGAAATCGACTCCAGAGGACAAAGCCAGTCTGAAGGTGCTGTGTGATGAGTTCAAGTACAGGCTTGACAAGCTGCTCTCAGCAGATTGGATCAGGTGTTGGAGGAAAAGGAAAGATAAATAAAGAAGAGACTTCTCCAATAACCCTTTCAAGTATGCCAGCTGGTGGATGAAAAGCATAGTAGTGGGCTAGAAATCTCAAAGGATGAACTGGAAGAGTATAACAAGGACCAAAATCCAGACAAAACCAAAAATACACCACTCAGCTCACCAGGGTATGTACCACACCCACTACCACCAAACCACCCCGTTGACACCTTTCCACCAAAACTGTGTGAAATTGGAGAGATCATCAAAATGGCCAAATCAGCTTTCAGCACCAGGACCAAATGGGGCTCCCTTTCAAGCTGTATAAGAACTGATCCCTTAGGAGGAGGGAATACAAGCAGCACATGAGTTCAGGAGGCTCAAGTATTCTGAACTGGCATCACAGTGCAATGAGGTTGGATGAACTGCAACCAGCCTCTTAGTGGAAGTTTGATGCAGGGGCTTGGTGGGTGAGTCAGCAGTCCTTCTCCGCACTGCTAGTTGGACCATAGCAAGCCTACAAACTAAAACCTACAGCTGACTCAGTGTCCACTGGTGGAGATGTGGCAGGCAAAGAAGCCAAGCAGGAAGAACATCTTCTATACAACATTTTGAAGCTATGCAGCTGTTAAAAATACTACAGTTATTCAGGCATTTAACTGAAATGGCACATGCTGAAATAAATTGAAAGACTAAAAACATAATTGACTGATACAAAACCTGGATGTAGAAATAAAGCTGCAGATGCCTTCTGTCTTCCAAGTTTATTCCAAGCTTCACAGTGATACCACCCTCTGTAATCAGCAGTGAGGCTGGTGATGCTGTAATTCTGTCCAGATCCTACAGGTGAGGTTCCACCTTCTTTAAACCAGGTGTAGTTCTTCACAGGTGGGTTTGCATCACTGCTGCAGGTCAGAGTCACTGAAGTGCCCTCCACTATTTCATCAGAGGAGCTGATGGACACTGAAACACTCTTCTGCAACAGATAAGAAGTATAAAAGAAAAATATATATTGAACCAGTTACTACCAGGCACCCTGCAGTTGTCATCATGAAATGTGGGAGGGCCATCTTTACTTAAAATAAAGTTTTTTTTTTTTTTGTTTGTTTTGTTGTTTTTTTCTGATGAACAAAGTGTACCTAATCATCAGCTTACACCAAACATCTAAATGCACATCAGGGGATCTTATCTCTCCATGTTCATTACAACTCTGGCATGTGTATTCTCCACTGTCTTCAGATCTGATGTTGGGAATGCTGTAGGTTTTTCCTTTTCCTACTGATGTTGATCCTTTAAACCAGGTGTAGATATTCACAGGTGGGTTTGCATCACTGCTGCAGGTCAGTGTCACTGAACTGCCCTCCACTATTTCACTAAAAGGACTGATGGACACTGAGATGTTCTTTGGAGGATCTATAACAGATGAAAAATTGAAAAGAAATAATATTTTAGTGTTTACTGAGTTTCAGTTGACTTTAAGTTAATATCTCTATATTAACTCACATGTAACATTTAAATACACCGCACTGGATCTTCTTTCTCCATGTTCATTACGACTCTGGCATGTGTATTCTCCACTGTCTTCAGATCTGATGTTGGGAATGCTGTAGGTTTTTCCTTTTCCTACTGATGTTGATCCTTTAAACCAGGTGTAGATATTCACAGGTGGGTTTGCATCACTGCTACAGGTCAGATTCACTGAACTGCCCTCCACTATTTCACCAGAGGGACTGATGGACACAGAGACGCTCTTTGTTGGATCTAGAAATCAGAGAATAACAGCAGTGTGATCTAATCATCACTAACAATAGACCTTTATAAAGGAGAATTGTTGCAAAATACAGATTACACAACTGGAATAAGTAAACATGCACTTACACAAAACATCCAGAGTTAGAGCTTCAGAGTATCTCTCTCCATGTTCATTAATGCACTTGCACTTGTATTCTCCACTGTCCACAGAGCTGGCATTGGTAATTGTGTAGTTCTTTTCTTTTACTACTAATGATTTTCCTTTAAACCAGTGACATTACACAGGTAGGTTCTCATCACTGCTGCAGGTCAGAGTCACTGAACTGCCCTCCACTACTTCACCAGAAGGATGGATGGACACTGAGACACTCTTTGGATGGTCTGCCATCACAAATGGAAAAAAGTTGTTTTAAAAAAAAAAAAAACAACAACATACTAGCAATTAAAACTAACCAGAATTGGCATCCAGCTTGGGGCTCCTGAGTGGTGCAACTGTCTAAGTAGCATCTATGCAAACTCATCAGGAGTTTGCGAGTTTGATCCTTGGTGATGCTACAGCCATCCATGGCCAGGGGTCCAAGAGAGCACAATAGGCCTCGCTCTCTCTGGGTGGGTAGGTTGCCCCCCCCCCACATCTCTCCCATCACACACTGTGATGCTAGTCAGCGCAGGCGTCTGGTAAGTGATGTAATAGGAATGGTAGTTGACATTCAGCTCAGCGCATTCAGCTCAGAGGAAAGTGGCAGTTTAAAAAGATGTGGTGGTGCTTCACAGATCTCAGAGGAAGGCTGGTGGTATTGTGTGACTGGGGGAGTCCTAACTAGTGGGTGGAATTGGGGAGAAAATTGGGGGAAAAAAATAGAATGAAAGAAAAAGTATCCAACTGACACTATTGCCTAGATCCACAGGACCACTAAGGTTACATGAGCACATGGTCCTTCCCTGTACAGCTAAGTGAGGGATCAAGTGTGGTTCTTCACAGTTGGGTTTGCATCACTGCGGAAGGTCAGAGTTGTTAAACTGCCCTCCACTATTTCACCAGAGGAACAGATGCACACTGAAGTGTTAATAACATTAATGAAATGTTACAATGGAAATATGTATAATTTCACCTCTTAACATTCCAGGCCTATTACATACTAAGACTTATTATTCAATAACTAATGGAGTTATACTTATGATATAGAAGTATGTAATAAAACCCACTTCTCGTTAAAAAAAAACTAGAAGTGGTTTTTCATGTCAGTAGATAATCGAGCAAGTCACCATTTATAAACATGTTTTATTGTGTTTAAATGCTATTTTTTGTGTGTCATTTGTACCAGATTTATTGCTACTCATTTTGGAGAGGTGTGAATTGTTTTTCACAGGAGGGGTTGTCACCCCTCCCCTTTCATCTCGCATTGCTCGCAGAGTCACAACATTTCGCACACAGACAGACAACCGTGTCCTAGTTAATCTGATAACAGAGTTACATTAACAAATTTTATTTGACTCTATTTATTAAAAATACACTAGTCTATTTCCATTTTGTGGAGTGGTCATTAGTGGGTTAGGGGGTCATCAAGTTTGGACAGAAAAAAAAATCAAGATGTTCTAAAGGTATTATCCTGTCTAAAGTAGGCTGATGGGAAAAGCTGAGGCCTGCAGAAAATCATAAACTGATGAGCCTAACTTTGTTGCCAGTTTAAGACCACACCATTGGGGTTATTTGAGATGTCACATATTGCATGTCTTTAAGTGTTATGATAGTAATACAAAGCATGTGTCTTAACATCTGTCATAAAATGTGCTAAGTAGAATACACTAAAATTCTACTTAAGCTGGACCTACAATACACAATTTTTTTTTTTTCCTGATTTTAACTCTGACTTGCTCCTTGCAACAAATTTTCACAATCTGAAATGATTTTCCAGGTCGGGAGCTCGATCAGAAATGACTGATACGCCATCAGTCATTTCTGATCAAGCTCCCGATGATCTGTTACAGAAATGAGTGAATCTTTAGCCTCCGATCAAACTCTGAAGTGATCAGTTTGCACTTGTGCTACACATAAAAGGACAAACAGGTCCATATATATATACATGTGTGTGTGTGTGTGTGTGTGAGACAAACTGCATCAACTTCAAAAATGATACTATGAAATTATAGGTAATGGTAACATGACACTGTTATATTACTTTAAAGTCTATGATTAGATGAAGAAAGTAAGAAAGTTAGAAAGTGACCTCGTCATTAAGGATAAAAAAAAACACAAAAAATACTCACATCTGACTCTGAGCTTCTGAGCAGCAGAGCGGAGATGTTGATATCCTCTTACAGCACAGCTATAACTGCCTGCATCCTGACTGCTGGCTGTCTGCAGGTGGAGCTGGTTGTTCTTGATGGTCTTTGTGGTTAAAGGACGTCCATTTTTGTACCAGATGAATTTTGGGTCAGTCAGACTGCAGGTGGTTTTACATGTCAGATCTGCTGTTTCTCCCTCTCTCACTTCTTTAGGGGTTTCCACATGGAGGCACATGAGATTGGCTGCAGTTTCTTCTGCCATTTTCCCAGGAATATTTACTTGGAGTTCTGGGAACAAGAAAAAGACTTCCTCTTAAAATTTTCTGCATGCTTCAAATTAAAAGCAAATAATATTTCCAACCAGTCTACCAAAATGTTCTAGATTCTACTGAATGTTGCCACTTAACACTGAATCAGTGCTTCAGTGGATTTTAGCAAGACATTTGTCTGTGTTTTATTTAATAAAGGACTGCATTTCAATTGAAATATGAAACTTTCTCTCTTTCAAACATAACGTTCTCTTCATACCCACCATACTCAAAGTAAACCGCATAATAAAAACACAAATCCTGTTCCAAAAATGTTAGGACAGCATATGAAGTAAAATCAGAGAGCAGTGATTAATAAATTCTGTTTTACTTGTACTAAATTGAAAACAGTACAAAAGAAAACCCTTTTTTTTGTATTGTTATTTTTATCATTGTTGTAAATATATGCACATTCCAAATATGATGCCTGCACAACATTCCAAAAGAACTGGGAAAGAAGCATGTTCACCACTATGCTACATCATTTTTTCTATTAACAGAATTTAATAAATGTGTGGGGACTGAAAACACAAATGATACAGTTTTGAAAGCAGATTTTTTTTGCCATTCTTCAGTTACACAAGTCTTCAGCTGTGCAACTTAATGAGGCCTTCTTTGCCATATTTTTACACTTTATAATATGCCACATGGAATTAGCATGGATGTTCTTGAAAAAGACGGCATCTAAAAGGCAGCATATGTTGCACCAAAACATGAATCTCCTGTGCTTTACAAATGTATACAACGCTCTTAAAAGTCATTGAATTTGTCTGGATTATACATGACACTTGTTTTTTGCTGTGTTATATTTTATTTCAAAAGATCCTAAATTAATTAATTCAAAATGACAGTGTATATATAAAGAAAATATTCTGTGACAAAATGTATCTAAAAGCTGTTTGCACATATATTCAACCCCATCTGCTTTGGAAGATCCTAGTTTACATAAATGAAATATACTGCCTTACAAGTGTATTCTCCTTATTGCAAACTGTATTTCTTTTTTAAAAAGGTTCACCTTATCTGGTTAAAAGACCACCTTAATTCACTATGAATCTGAACAAAGACTCCAAGTAATGAAGGGCAAAATGCATTCTAAGGAAATTAGGGTATAAAGCTATACAAAATACGCAAATCAGGCAAAGGCTACAAAATAATACCCAAGCTTCGGCTCTCCTAGTCAGTACTGTTGCATCAATTGTGAGGAAATTGAAGCTGCATACCATCCAGACACTGCCTAGACAAGGCCGTCCCTCATGATTGATTGTTACAGCGTGAAAAAAAAAAATGCTGATTCTGATGTCTTTGAAGGTTGGCTGAATATTTATTTTTCTGCTGAGGCCAGTGCAAGGGAAGAATGCCTGAGGCAGAGGCAAGCCAATAGAAGAGGGCTGCATGCTAGGCTAAAGATTAGTGCTACCTCAATGCTTGCCAATGTCCACCCTTCTGAAAACAAGCTGGATAAACTCAGAGCCAGGCTAACGTCACAGTGCGAAACAATGGACTGTTGTGCTCTTCAGTTCTGATGCTGTGGAGTTGCCAAACTGGACTGTGATGCAGTTGGTCAAGATGCTCATCACTGTGCACCTGCAGAGCAAGTTTCAGAGTAGCTAGTTTGGAAAGTTGACTCTCCTCAGCCACCTGAAAAAATGAAGGCATTGTTGGGCGTTTTTGATGAGGTGTTGACTGACCAGGTGAGATCCTCAGCTGTATATACTCTGAGGAATTTAAAGCAGTTCACTTTTTCCACCATGGCCCCTTCAATGCTCAGAGGTGTGTGCACTTTGCTCCCCTTCCTGAAATTGATAATCATCTATTTGGTTTTGCTTACATTGATGAAGAGACTGTTGATGGTGCCCTACTCTGTAAAATGTTTAACCTCCTCTCTCTACTCCGCCACTTTATTATTAATGAGGTCCACTACTGTTGTATTGTCAGCAAATTTCATGATGATTTTGGAGTTGTGCTTACCGATGCAGTCATGGGTGTACAGGGTGTACAGCATGGGTGTTAAGACACATTGTTGTGGACAGCCTGTGCTGAGAGTGAGAGTGGGAGAAGTGTGGTCACCCATTCTAACAGACCCATTCTAAGAGGCCTGCCGATGAGGAAATCCAGAATCCAGCTGCAGATTGTGTGACTTCTTGGGCATGGAGACCAGTTTAGAGGGAATAATTGTGTAAAATGCTGAACTGAAATCACTGAACCAGCATTGTTATGTATGTGTTCTTGCTCTCATGAGGTTGCAGTCTTTGGGATGGGTGTCTGTTCACGTGGTAAGCAAATTGAGTTCTGGGGATGCAATTCTTAACATGAGTCAGGACTAAGGAAAGACTGTGGTTGACTCCAAGTCTCCAGGGTGAAAACTGGGTAGTGCAGTGGAGTCCTGGTGGAGGCTAAGTGTTTTGCACTAGTTTCCAATATCCAGTAAAGTCTGTCAATTGTCGACAAGGTGTAGTTTGCTCATGTTGGGCTCACAGCAAAAATAGACTAAATATACAAGTAAATAACAGAAAATTGTTCATTAGTAGGAGAGGTAGCCCAGCTGCTGATATCTCCAGTGCTGCTGGAAATGTAATGAGACTGGAGCACACATGGGAAGGGATCTGAGACCAATTTCTCCATACAGCATCTCTCCAGGTCCTTCAGATTCTGAGATCCATGTTTATGGACTCTCCTTTTCAGCTTATCCTAAAGGTTTTGTGAGGGGTTTATGTCAGGGACAAAGTAGATATTGATGCAAAAGTAACGCAGAGGACCACTTTCATGCAGTCAGCAAGGAAAACATGTGTTTCCTGTACAACTTCCTTTTTGCCACTTGCAGTATGAAACAAACTATTAAATGGCAATAAAGTTTCAATTACAAATCCAGCACACATAGTGATGGATGACTAAGGCTGCATCCAAAGCTGTATACTACCATACTATGTCAAAAATAGTAGACCACCAATAGAAGTACATCTCGTTTTGCTCATGTTTACCAGGTTGCTTCATTATTTGTAGAGGGCACTGTAGTCAACAATTAATGCAAAGTGTTGCCATCCTAAACAACTGTTCTGAAAGCAGAGTCAAAATATTTCTCAAGAACCTAAGAGGGAAAGTGGAAAGCATTTTCTCCTGTCCTCTGAAATATAACTGGCTAGTGCATTTAAACTGGCCCAACTGGAGCTCAGAGTTGCCCTGTGATCCATCCAGTAATAATCCTGTCATTACAGTATTAACAACAGTGGCCTGACCAGAAGGTTAGTTTAAAACAAGGCAGAAGTAGATTTCAAGTGTCTCAGAGGTTTGTAAAATAATCGGCATGTAAAATAATCGCTTTGTCCTAGTATGTTAAAAATTTTATCCTTATTATTTCATTTACAGTATTCGACTTGAATAAATCTGATAAAATTGCTTATTACCTATACTTAAATTAAGTATTTTTTTAGGTTGAACTGATGATATATTGACCTATACAGACATATGCAAATGTTTGAACACTCCTAGGTAAATTATATATATGATCTTCGTGCTCAAACACACCACCAAATTAATTTATTATCCTAATTTAATTTTTGATCAGATATTTGATTTAATGTTTAAATTCTTCTGTTTGTCAGGACCAACACGATGTTGTATTGCTGCCAGAGGGACACAGAGAATAGCCAACCAAACAGTAGCAGGAGGCACTGCTGGACCAGCCTCTGCCACCAGAGGGAGGCAGAGAGCAGCCTCCTAGGCAATCACTGGCATTCACACCAACTGTGTGAGCTCTACTTAAAGGGGAACTCTACCAATTGTTCAAAATTTCTGCGTAATTAAATGGTTAACATGTAAACAAAGTCATTGAGAGTGGTTTGATGTATAAAGCTTACAGAGAAAATTACAGAGTCAGAATTGTCTATAGTGGTGTTGAAAGGAGCCAGACACCTAAAGAGCGTAATTCTTCTAAAATCAGAAAGTGATTACACAAAATGGTTATGAATATGCTGCCTGATGGCTGAGAAATTATTTTCTGATAGTTTTGTGATAAAATTATGGCCTAAAATGTCTTGTTAATCCATTTATTTTAATCTATTCATTGTGAAGGGGTACATGAAGGGTTTTTGAGGAAAAGTTCCCCCCGAAAACTTATTTTTTCAGATGTTACACCACTTTAATACCATCAATATTGCATATGACTCAGAAGACACATGAATATTCACTGAGGGTTTTGGACAGTAAATAAAATGGCTATATTTGTGTTGTAGACATTGTCACTCCTGGTTTCTATCATTAGAAAAGAAATCTGAGTGTGTAACTTTCTCTACAACAATTTTACATTTTGGAATTCCTCTTCAAGGAGAGCTCTCTCTGCACCTTGTGCTCAGTTTTTAGTCTTGTTTCTTTTAAGTTTGTTTCTGAAGTCAGTATTCGGCTCTGCATCTGGCTCTAAATCAGCTTCTTGTTAGTGGCTCACCCAATAAACTTGCCTTCCAACCCCAGAGTCTGGGATTCACAACAGACATGTGGCGGCCAACCCATCACAATCTTTTAAATCTATATTTATATTTAAATAATAACTTGTTTTCTTGAGATTTTAAATTAAAACTTTTTTAATGAGTTATTACTTTACTAAATTGAGATACTAATTTAACAGAATATTTGAGAAATTCAAGAAAATGTCATTCTGTTTCAAAACGTTTTTCTTTGGCTGGATGAATGAGCTAAACTTGAGTTCTGAACCAAGTGCATTAAAATTCTTTTTTTTTTTTTCATCAAAGTCTAAATTAATGTTTTTGAGCATAACCCAATGCCAGCCATTAGTGTTAAAAAAATAAGACTTATTAAGAATAAGATAAATACATAACAAAATATTTATTTCATTTTTATGATTTTCACTTTACTACATCACTTGAGTATGGCAGCTAGCTGTGTGTAAACATTTCATGATGACTGGACCAACAGAAATGCTTGGAATAGAAGTTCTTAACATTTACTTACACTGAAAGTAAAGACAAAATGTAAAGTCTCTCTTCTGTAAAGTTACTATTTGTTACTACTACATGCTGCCATCTAGATGACATCTTTTTCAGTGATATCCCTGCTTGTTTCAGCAAGACAATGCCAAACCACATTCTGCATATTACAACAGTGTGGCTTCTTAGTAAGAGAGCGTAGGTCCTAGACTGGCTGCCTGCGATCTAGATCTGCCCCCACTGAAAATCTGTGGCACATTATGAACACTGAAATGTTTTTTTCCATGGTGAAATGGCTATTTGATGGTTCTACATAGCAGCAAAAAGGGTTCTGCTATTGTTACAAACTTGACATCGTAACAAAAGCAGAACACTCATTGTTGCTATATAGAACATTTTTCAAAAAGGTTCTATATAGCACCATATATTCTCATATATACAATTCTCCATCAATCTGAAGAAAGATTTCACCAGGCAAAGAACCCTTTAAGCATGCAAATGGTTCTTCTAGTGTTCATGGTTCCATATCGAACTACTGTCTTTACCAAAGAACTCTTGTAGATCAAAAAGATGCAAATTATTGCCGGCTATTTTATTTTTATTTACGTTTTTCTACTGTCCCAAGTTTATTGGAATTAAGTTTATACCACAATTGAATCAGTAAGCAAAATTTAGGATGGGGTACTATTTGTCCGTTTGAATTCTTGTGATATAATGTGTAGGAGTCTCTTCACAGAGTCGGAGGAGCATTCACTAACCTGATGTGAGCAGAATGAGGAAAAGGAGGTGGCAAGACAGACCAGACGCCATCTTGATTGACATCTCACCAGTTCATATGCCACCTAGAGACACCGCTTTAAATGGCAATAATCATGATTGTTCTGTCAGCTGAATCACAAAATCATAGTTTATCATCTGATGCAATTATGAAACGCAAACATCCAGCACAGAAACAGTCCTATGCAAAAGCCTCAGGCAGTCATTAAAATAGTATAAAGCTTTTTTTTTTTTCTCAGCAGTGTTTTTGCATGGAGGGACTCTATATATAATTTAATTATATAAATAAACAGAAATATATTCATATGGATTTGTTCAATTCCATCTGTAGTACCTGATTCAACCCTTTAAAATTCCAGGCTTATAACATAGTTAGGTGTATTATTCAGTAACTACAGAGACTTTAATGCAAACTGGCTGAGCTATTCTTAGGTTATAGACGCGGGTAATAAAACTTTGGTGGGCCCTGACCATTCAAGAGGTTAATTTAATGAAGGATTGATCAAATAAACTAGGTAGCCTCTTTCAAATTCATGCACACTAATTTGGAAATTATTCAGCCAACAAATCAACACATGTAATTCCTTAATTTCTAATGGTTTTAAGTTTTCACAAATGAATGCAAATGAATGTCTGTAAAAATTGCATCACCATCAAATCTTACACTTTTGCACAGTACTGTATGACATCAACTAAACCTTTAATAACTGAAGCAAATGACATGCAAACTGTAAATGTCATGCACTTACATTCCTTCTGTTAGATTTGAAAACAATAAAAAATGTATGATAATGTATGATGAAGAAAGCAAAAAAGTTAAAACACTATGAATGCATACATATCATAAGAATATTACTTGTTCATTAAGTTCAAGGATATTTGTTTAGATTTATAAAAAATCTTCAAGTTGACTGTAATTTTGACTGATTATCCCAAACACTTACCTCTACTCTACTTGTCCGCTGACAGAGTTTAAAAGTGATATATGAGGATGTGTTTAGCACCCATATACCCCCAGTTCCTGGTTCTTTTTCTGTACCTGTATATCCTGAGTTTGGGGACTGGTCTGACCCACACTATGGTCAGGACACAGGATTGAAAAGAATATGCAGCCAAAATATTTTGACCTGTGTTGCTCTAAACACATAAGGCAGGATTATTTTCTGTTATTTGGACACTCAGTACGGAAAAGTCAGAATGTTTTGAGGCAGGAAGTGGTAAAAGAAACCACGTGGTTACCTTGGAGCTACTCAGCCAGCTGTGACATGATAACCACACAAACATATAAGTGTAATAAAAACAAATAGATGTAATGTGATCATGTAGAAGAGATGTGGACTAAAGACCCTGTCCATGTGTCACGAGGCCTGCGAGGACCAGTCTATACAAATGGAAAGTGTGTTTTTCAAATGTTACCAATATGTTTGTAGTATATGGGCTGGTTTCCTAGGCTACATCCCCAGACTAAACCCAGACTAATAAGGGATTTTGGCAGCACTTGAATTTTACATACTGTAAAATAAATAGGTGCATATGTGGTTTACTGGCACATACTTTGCATGTACATGGTCATTTACATCAAAAAACTATTAAATACTTACCGCTGCACTTACTCAGTATTTATTATGTAAATATGAAGTACTTACATTTAATTTTCTGGCACATACTTTGCACAGACTACGTAACGTTATTAAAAGTATGAGGTTTGTACAACAATACTTACTCAGAAGTTTGATATCAATAGAACAACTATCCCATTTACAAGTAACCTACTGTTCAAAGGTTTGGAGTCAATGTTTTCAATAATATAAAACCACTTTGGGGCAAATAAATGTTTAAAATGATATTTTATGAATGCTAATCAATTACAACTTTGTATACAAGTTTGTATAATTACAAATAGTTAGTAGAAGTAGAAATGTTAGATGTGTCCAGAATGATGAATAGAACTGTACATGACTCTGAAATAACAGCCTGAGGTGAAAATAGTATCCATAATATCTTCTGGTTCACAGGCAGATATCTTGAAAATCGTATATATAGGTAATGACAGTATACTACTTATCCTTGATTACAATACATAAGATTTTAAAAAACATTTCATCTATTTAGATGAAAAGTGATTACCTACTTTTAACAGTACAATACTTTTAACATTAAATTGTATTCATAGTGAAACAATAATTGAAGTTATTGTCGAGACCAAGAGCTATGTTCCTCCTTGCCCAAAGCTCCGACATATGATAAATCAAAACTATTCTGTGCTGTGGTTTTGTTCTAATTATTGTTTTTAATCACTTACAAAAAATAAACAAAAATAAAATAAACAAAACTAAAAAAGGGTATTCAACCAAAAATAAAAGAAAGCAGAATAAAAGACTTCAGCCGCTGAGTTCTTGTGGAAGGGAAAAAAAGGCTTCTTCTTTATTTCAGGCACAGGGTCTCGAGAGACCCCAGCTGTGCAAATACAGTTTTCCAAACAACAGTTTGTATACCATTTATCTGGGGTAATGTGATATCCCCCCGCCTCACTTCTCAAATTTTGATATTAGCTCATTCTCTAATAGGTGCATCTCTTCGTCCATCAATTTAGCCATCGCATGGTGAGCTCACTCCTCAAAACTGGCTTCAACAGGTTTTTACCAGCCTGCTCTACCTTTCAAGGTCAACTTGCCCCTCTCTTCACTGGGTCAGTAGGTACACACAGGGCTTTCTGTGAACCCAGCTGCTTTCCAGTGTCTAGAATCTCCTATGCAGACAGTCTAAGGCCTACCCCTTGTGAGAAAATTACTATTCTCTGTTAGGCAATACTACCTATTTGGTTATTGATTACAACATCTAATCTATTTGTTTACTGATTAAGGGAATATTTATTCGAAATCTCTGTCGTTATCATGATATAATGTGACTTTAGCCTTCAAAGGTTTAAGAGGTCCTGAGTCATGTTCACTCCTGGCAGTCCTTGCCCTGGCCACCAGAGACCCCTATAACCAGAATTCTGCTCTGGTAACTTCTGGCCATTCTAGCCTAATTACCTGCCATTTAGCAGCATGCTCTTTCCTCCTAGTGGCTGTGAAAGACATTTTTCTCTCAGACCAACACCATGGTTACTATGTGAAAATAAAAAGAATATATAGGCAGCAGATTTTGATCCATGTTGTTATATACACATAACTGAGACACGAGTATTTGCTGCCTTTCGGACACTCAGTGTGAGGAAGTCAGAATCTTAGGAATCTTAGGAGTTAACGTGTCTCACACTTACTATTAAAGACAGAACGTTTGGTCAAGAAAACATTTGGTAACTTCTATCAACTAATACTAAGCCTAACAGTCACCCTTTGCTTTTTCTGAACACTATCACAGGCAAAGTAGAACAAAGTAGAACAATGAAGACTAACACTTTATTCTTGCATAAACCAGAACACCAGCTGTGACACTATATATAAATGATAAAGTTCCATGTGATCAACTATGAGAGAAGTGGACTGGAGATAAACCCTTTTAAAAGTTTTATTACACACTTATATGATCTTAGAATAGCTCAGCTTGCATTTGAGTCCCTGTAGTTAAAAATAAATGTTACTATGTTATAAAATTTGGATTTTAAGGGGTTACGATTTGCCTGGGATGGCCTGGGATGACCAGTCTGTATAAATGGTACCCATTTTAAATGTCACCAATATGTTTGGGCTGGTACATGGGCTGTTTTCCTAGACCACTTCCCCACGCTAAGCCTAGACTAATAAGGGATTCCAGTGGTGGATCACCACATTACAGTTAATGATTAGGTATATAATTAGTCCATAAGTAGGCTTAATCCCTATCCAGGAACTGGCTCCAGGCTTATCTGAAAGGTGGGTACCACAGTTCAGTCAGAACAGTAAGAGTTTTAACATGCTGACTTATTAGCTATAACATACATTAATGAAATAGTGAGAAAATGAGGATTAATACACATTATATTTGAGCAGTAAGTGTTTATTTGCTCAGATAAGAGCTCTAATATTAGAATAAATACAAATAATATTAATACAACAAGTAGTGGTTTTATGTATGTCAAGAGGTTGGTAAGAGTTCTCCAATTGCACACAAGGTATAGGATTCAATAGAGACCTAATGGAGCGTTCAATAGGGATTTCACTGATTGACTGTGTTATTCTAGTAATTTGAGGCCAACAATAAAGCGCTGAACCCGTCCTTTTACTGACATATGTAATCAGCAAAACAATCAAACAAATTATTTATTGCCCTTGATAAAGGACTCTAGGGATTCTACACAAAACTTAAAAAAAACACCTCACTATACCTTAGGACAGTCACATCACCTCTAGAATAGGAAAACACAAGAACAGATATTGAGGATGTGACACCTTTCATGTTCACCTTTATCTTCCTCTTTCTGGGCACAGATACACCAAGATCAAGCTATGCCATAAATATGTCATGGCAGATGCCATATGCTTTCCTGAGTTGTCATGACAGATTTTGTTTAGCAGTTTCATGTCCTCCTTAACGGTAATAGTCAAATGGCATAATGTTTGAGGTCATGGCACCTTATGTCACATGCAAATTTTTGCTCAGTGTGCTCTAGTTAAAATATATGTTATGACAGTTACTGATAGTGGTAACATGACACTGTTGTATTACTGAACAAACTCTACTCTATTCAATCTAACACGGATTAAATAAGTGTTAACATTACACACACACACACACACTAAATTGAGTTCCCCACATTTAAGGGGAGTAATAGGGTGAAGTAAAAATTTACAAAGCCTTTAAAATGTACCTGGTGCCGTTTCCAGGATGTAATGACACCATAAGTATGACAACACAGCTCGTTTGGGAAGATGAATAACACTTGAATATGACATGTCTTTGACATCTTATCAGGTGGTAGAAAAATTTTGGAATGGAGTGTTTTGAGGGTAAGTACATGCTGTCCATTAGACTTTAACTGTCTGGGTTTGACGAAGATGCTGGTGCATCAAATTAGATGTTTCTCTGTGTTTCTACTAATATCTTTGCAATAATCCTGTGCATTAATATGGTTCAAACAGTTCCTGAATCTGTAGAGTCGCTCTTTCGATCCCATCTTATCATGAGACAGTGGTGTGTAAAAAGTTCGCAGCTGCTGAAGTTATTTGCGATTTTGGAAAGCAGCGATGAGGATAAGATTTATCAACTATCTTATTCACACACTGACATGCCAAACATCACGGGACAGGAACCAATATTTTGCAGGACACCCTCTAGCCTGGTGAAGTGCAGCAACTTGATGTGGCATTGATTCCACAAGTGGACAGACGTCTGGAGGGATGTTGAGCCATGCCATCTGGATAGCAACCCACAGCACTGTACATCTTGGGCCCGATGGCACGGTGCATTATCCCGCTGGAATATCTCATTATTGTGGGGGTACCTAAAGTCCATGAAGGGCTGCAAATGGTCACCAAGCAGTGAAATGGTCAATTACATGTTCAGGCAGACCAGTGGACCCAATGGAACTACCACTATCCTGCACAGTGCCTTGTTGATAACTGGGGTCCATGGCTTTTTGGAGTCTGGGCCACACATAAACCATACCTGAAACAATTGTTACCATGACTTGTTGTACCACATGATATTTGGCCTGTCCACTGTGTGTGGTAATGCCTTCCATGACATATTCCTGGTGCACACAATGTTTACTATCCGGTGTCGACCAGAGGAGGATGGGTTCCCCTTCTGAGTCTTGGTTCCTCTCAAGGTTTCTTCCTGTTTCTCTTAGGGAGTTTTTCCTTGCCACTGTCACCACTGGCTTGTTCATGGGGGCTTGGACCTGGATTTCTTTTTGTAATGCTCATTTCCTTGTAAAGCTGCTTTGTGACAACACCTGTTGTAAAAAGCGCTATATAAATAAACTTTACTTACTTACTTACTTACTTACACACGTGATACTGTGGATCGAGGAATGTTAAATGCCTGCACAACTTCGGAAGCAGAATTTCCCATCCATCTGGAACCCACTATCGAACTCCTATAATTCACGTCGCCTTGCCAGTGTTCAGCCTCTCTCACAAGATAACACCCAACCTAATTTTGGTAAACGCATTTCAAGCATCTAAACAGTTCGTCCACATGAGTAAAGCTATGATTTCGCAAGAGATATTAAGAATGTCTGTCTAAAACTGGGTTTCATTTTTTCAGGTTTAGGTTTGAATTATCTCTTTACACAGTGCTCCAGGTCAAAAGGGCCTCATCAAAGAGAGAGCTGACATTGTTGTGAATATTTTGATATATAACATGTAGGTATCATGTTGCACACAAGTGCCTTTAAAGATGAAGGTAAGAATATATGCATTTGTCTGAAACATAAAAAATTCCAGTCAGAATAACAAATAATCACCTGAAGAGGTCACTGTGTGCTTAATTAGATGACTCTCAAGTGTTTCATATGTGTATTTGCTGTCACTTGAGTGAAAACGGGAAGCAGCAGCTTAAATTTTCGTGTTCATGTTCCCACACTAACACAGATGCATACATCCACAAATCTGGGTTTCTTATCAGGGAGCAATGAGAGGCCACTTTTCTGTCATAGTGTTGTTAATATCAGGTATGGTCATTTTTAACAAATACAAATCAGCTACAGCAGGATTCTTATGTTGCTTACATATACTTAAACATTTTTCTTTGATAAAGTGTTATTGGTGAAATGACTGTCTTTTTTGTTAACTGAGGCAAAAACTCACCAATAAATAGTTTACATATGTTTGCTTTATATTGTGATTAGGAACCTGCTTTGCTGCAGAATACACTGAAATAACTGGCTATGAAGGAAGAAGTTTAAGGATCAACTGTCATTACCCTCGAGGCAACGAGGAACAGGGCAAGTATTTCTGCCGACTCCGGGGCCTCCCCTGTCCAGACCTCATTCGCACAACTGTTAAGAATTCCTGGGATGAACAAGGACGCTTTGCTTTGTTCGACAACACCAGCGCCCGCTTTTTTACCTTAAAGATCTTCAGTCTGCATGTGAATGATTCGGGGAAGTACTGGTGTGGGGTGGACAAAAGCCTGCAACCAGATTTCATAAGTGGAGTGCAAATTACTGTCATAGTTGGTGAGTCGCCATCAGCAACTGTGGTTTAACCTAAACACTTAAATGTTCCCAAATGTTTCCTGACTTGGGTATAAGGTTCTAGGACCTTTCCTTAAACTTTAAGAGGGTTTCTTCACACTTGCGTATGTCATTTACAAATATAGTCCTTAAAAGAACTAGACACTTACAATTGTGGTTCATGTATTGGATTGCTAAATTTTTCACAATAATTCTTAGAGTAATATTAAAAATAAAGTAGTTCATAAGATAAGGTAGTTTTAGTGGTGGTATTTTAAGTGTTATCCTTGGCTATATGTCGTATACTAAAAAATAGCATAATCTATATAATTTGTTGCGTATACAGTACACCCTTAAAAATGGTGCTTCAAGTCTCCTTTGGTAAAGAAAATGGTCCTAAATAGAACCATGAACACTCAAAAAACTCTTTGCATGATTAAACGGGTTTTTTGTATCATGGAAGCGTTCTTCAGACTGATGGAAATGTGCTTTCTGAAAATGGTTCTATTTAGCAACCAAAAGGTTTCTTCTATTGTTACAAGTTTTACACTCTAACGATAGAAGAGTCCTTTTGGGTACTATATAGATCCAATTTCAGAAATTTACAGCACAGTCTCCATCAATCTGAAGAACCTTTCAGGATGCAAAGAATGCTTTAATCATGAAAAGGGTTCTGAGTGTACATGGTTCTATAGAGAACCATTTTTTCTACTAAAGAACTCTTGAAGCAACATTTTTAAGAGTGTATGTTAATATCATTTATTACACTAAATGGTTCTTTATTTGATTCAAATGTCCCAAGTGGTTGCTCATGAATAAAATATAATTATCTAACTTTTTTTTGGCAAGAATTTTCTCTTTTCTTCTCGGTCTATTCTCTTTTTATGCTTAAGTTGCTAAGCTCACTTATGCCTGATCACATGACTGGTCTGAGTGCCAATGCTGAGTCTCTCTTTTCTATAATCTTAGTCCACATAGAAATTAGAGTATATACTTCTGTGTCTCCTGACTAAGTAAAACAAAAATTAATCATTAACACATGCATTGTATAAAAGCTTGTGTGTCAGAATTGTCAAATTAGGCTGGGACTTACTAAGCCTTTATTATGATGGTGGTGTATGATTAGCATTATAAGGGTGATTTTCAGTAGTGACGCTTGTGTAAAGTCAAAACATCACATTGCTTTTGGCTAGAAAATCTGTTTTTTATTTAGTTCAGTAAGGGCTCAGCACAAGGTCTTAATGGCTGTGAAGTGCTAAGTAGGTGTCTTTTCAGCTCATGCAGTGATAGTTCAGGGTCATCCCCCTGATTGTCAAGGGTTGGCAGCCCTAATGTTGAAGAGAAAAGCCATTTTGTCCTTTCAATAAAAATCAAACCCACTTGGGAGCCACAGCATTTTATGCCCATTTTATTGAAGTAATGTTTTCACCATCTTGCCTGAAAATGTTAGTAACCCTTTCTTTTACAGTCCCCTAAGTTCTAGGTATTAACCAGGTAAGTGTGGGGTACAAACTCTTAGGTGAGAAAATAAAGTACCAGGATAGTCTAAATTAATTATACTGAAATGTCTCACAGGTTCTAGGTATTACCCAGCTAAGGGTAAGGTATAAATTCTAAAGTACTGGATAATTATTTTAAGTAATAAGATGGTAAGTAACAGGATAGTCTAAAAGAATTACTATGAAATTATGTAAAAAGAACTAAACAGCAAGGTGTAGGAATTAAGACATTATTGTACATTTTGTACAATATTATACACTGTAATGTACAGGAATTATTGTGTCAAAAAACAGAGTGGTCAAAAGGTTTTAATAAACAGGTATTACCATTGTGACAAATCTTGCTTTCTCTTGCAGGCCCTTTACACTTGCATAACAAGTGGCCATTTTTCTGAATTTTGTTGTAAGAACTCAGTAAAACTATAGAAAGAGTCCCTGCTTTCTTTTACAGTTCAGATTCAGTTTAGTATCTAGGTAATAGACACATACTATTTAAGACTCTACAGATTTGAGTGACCTGAGCTCCTACTCACATCCTGTTTATTCTTTTGAAGTTCCAGGTAAATACATTATAACACTTAAATACATTCCCTCTAATATTGACAATCTAGTACCCATGTGTCAAACACAACGCCCACAGGCCTGATCTAGAACCTGTGAGACGTTTCATAATAATTCATTTAGACTATCCTGGTACTTAATATTTTCTCACCTAAAATAATTACCTAGTACTTTGGAGTTTGTACCTCACACTTACCTGGTTAATACCTAGAACTTAGGGAACTGTAAAAGAAAGCATTACCAATATGTCTTGATATGTGTTAGCTAATATCTTAGTATAGACCAAAAATATAACATAAACAAAGACACAGAGTTACGTTGCTCTGCTTTTAGCATTAGCTCAGCTATAGCTGCTTTTCTTGCATCTCCGGCAGGGAACTTTTCCTCAAAAGTAGAATAGTCTCTCTATGTTCGACTTTTAAAGTCAGCTTCTCATTCACCAGCTTCTTGTTCTAATTTCCCATTCCACCTTAAACGTCCATGCAACTGCTGTACCATAAGGTGGAACGGGACAATTCAAACAAGAAGCTGGCAAATGAGAAGCTGACTTCAGCTTCGTGACTTTTTAGTGTTTGACAGTTTCTTAATGCAGATTAAATGTATGAGGAAACCAGCTGGAGTGCTTATAAACACAAATAAGTCCATTTGTCTCCAAACTATTGGTGTTCATCTCAAATCTTTGTCTTTTCATTAGCTACTAGCTAGGCAAGATTGTTATCTGCATGGCTGTGATGTCCAGCAGTCTGTGAGCCAGTGTGTAAGACCACTTATTGTTTAACTGTGTTGAATGATCAGCAGAGCTTTATTTTACTGTAAAGGAGGATTATTTTATTTTTATCTAAAATCTAATTCTGCCTTGGCGCCACAACAGCGCAGAAAAAGAGCCACATGCAGCTCCACAGCTGCTTGTTGCTGACCCCTGGTCTAGGTATTGATGATACCTAGTGAAACTGTGGTATAGTAGCACTGTGAAAGTAGTGCTACCATAAATAGAGGAAGTAGGATTTAACCCATTTCATTGTATAACTAATTGACACATTTGAATCATGTAAATCCAGAGCACTATTTATTTTTTAGTGTACAGTGCTGCTATAAAACATGACATGGCTAAAGTTCAGACAGAGGTAGCTGCAGCTGTGTGGAATTAGGGCAAGAAGTTACAGGAGAAGCTCAACTTTGAGAGTTGAGATAATGTGTCTCATGCATTAACCTGTTCATATTTAACTGAAACTTTTGTTCATATGTAACTGAATGTTAATACTTGTGTCACTGTTTTATGTTATAGTGGAAAATAGTACTAGTGCTTTCACCATACAGAATACAGTGGAAACCAGCAGTCCTACCATAACAGTGGACCAGACAGTGGACAGCAGACCAGACGACAGACCGCAACGTATGGTTTACAAACATGCACATACACAGAAACACTTGTATTACTATCTTTATGGATTTTTTTTTCATGCTGTAGAATGATTTTTAATCTCAAAGCTGATGTCATATGATGGAATGAGTTGTCACAATAGATTTTGCACTATTAGTGGTAATCGTCATGACAGATGTCATAATGTCTAATTATGCCAGCCTATTTCGTATGATTATTTTTGCTAAATTTGTATGTAATAGTTTGAATGGTCCGTGTTTTGTTGACTTTTTTGTCTGTGAAAATAAGTTCGCACATCGTCTACGGAGAACACACATAAATAGGGCATGTTTTTTTCTGCAAATTAGTGTACAACTTACATTAAACTTACATTAAAAGTAAAGAATGTTTTTGCCCTCTCCTGTAAAGTTTTGGAGATATTTGTTTTTCTTTGGACAGTGATGATATGCTGACATGACAGATTATGTCCAGTAATATAGCAAGGTTCAGGTAAAGTGTAACCAAAATGATTCATGTAGTAGCTACCAAACAAACTAATTTTATTCAGCTCAAATAAATCAAATAAATGGACCAATGTGTAGGACTTCAATTCCTTGTCAAATTAACAAGGTTTTTTTTATTATTATTTTTATTATTTTATTATTTATTTTTTTATTTGATTGAAATTCATGAATCTTGTTAGGTTAAGATATTTTGTTATGTTATCGTTTTGTATAGTATGTGTGTACAATACTATACTTAATGCCACTATACAGATACATAAGCTTCTTATTTAAATTTTTTGTGTATTTATTTTCAGTCTGTTTCCATGTTTTCTCGTCATGGTAGGGATATTCGAGTAAAATGGATGTGGTCAATCTCAGCCCAATCTATTGTTTACTCAGCAGTAGGTCAGCTGTTCATGTGAAAGTCGGTCTCTGTTCTCTGTTCTTTTTTTTTCACAGAATCTCACTTCAGGTTCTTGACAGTGATTACCATGACATGTGTGGGAATGCTATTCTTCGTGTGCTTGTTCAGTATGATTCATGTACTCAAACGGATCAACAGCTGCAACCTGTCAGGTGGGCAAATGAAAACCAGAACACAGTACACAGTACTGAGTTCTGTTAAGTGCAAGAACTGAGTTGTGAGCTGACACCAAAGTTATACATGCTGCTCTGGTGAGCAGTAACATGGTCCAAACAGCAGAGGGCAACATCACTCCTCGTACGCATAACTAAGAACATACCTTTTTTTTTACCTTACAGTTTCTGCATCCTACAATCTCAGAGAAAATCAGAAATTAGACCCAGAACATACAGAGGTGAGTCTGATGTGAAATGATAAGCTAAATGATTCAAATAATAATGAACATAATAGAGCTGATGGCGATGAACATGGCAGTGCCAAACAGTGAGAGGTCATAAACACTGTAAGAAAATTTGTTGAAAGTTTGGTAAAATTCATTTATATCATTAAAATGCCCTTGTAAAGCCCTTATTTAAGACCTAGCAAGCCAGTAGTTGGTAAATAACTGGTTCCTCATTATTACACCAGTAAGAAGTGGTGAATTAAGCTTTTTTTCAGAGCACTTTTATTGATATACATCATAATCTTTTTCACAACAGTTTAGGTGTATGGTCATAATCTGTCATGACGATAGCATAGGATATTTCCAATGACATGCTTATGGCATGGTTATTACAATGTTGTATAGCAGGGTTGAAGTACAGTGTAACTAAATGACTTCATGTGGTAACTACAAATGAGCTAGTTTGATTGCCTGTTACCACAAAGTATTTTTCAGGTTCAATATTTTCAACATAAGCTGCAGAGTCACCTTAAAAACTTCTTAGCACCTCAAAATTCTGTGTTTTACATTGTATTAAGTTGTTAACACTTCAAAAACTATGTTGAAATTTTGGTAACACTTCAGTAAATGAGGACATTATTGTGCTCTTGTAAAGCCCTTTTCAAGCCTTAACAAGCCAGAAGTTGATAATTAACTGGCTACTCATTATTATTTTAGTAAGCAGTACCTATGGTAAATTTGGCATATGGCATTTTCTTTGGATATTATACATCAGTCCATGCCCTTTTTAAGACTTATCATCCAATAACTGGTAACTAACTTATCATAGCTTGGAATTAACTGGCTGCCCACTACTACATTACAACCAAATGTTGTTTGCATATGATTGTGATGTATATGTGGAAAGTTTAACACACACTCAGAACTTGTGTTTTGATCAGTACATCCAGAAAAAAAATGGAGAATATGTCTTTGCTAACTTAGTTTGCCTGCTTACTTTGATTACATTCGTGTGTGTACTCAGTGAGGCTTCTTTCTTCTGGTTTAAAATGCATTTCACTTTACATCTGGAATAAAATTGAAAGGAAATGTAAATAAAAGAGGCCTTACTTTCAACTGATCTTGTTACAAATCTTCTTCACCCTGAAACTCAGACAAACTCAGACACCATTCATTTGTGGCCTTGAGAGTGATCTCAAGACTGTTGCCAGGCAGGGGTATTACAAAACTATACAATTCACGAATAAAAGTACCCTGGAAAAAAACTTCACTTTAATTACTGTTTAATCAAAAGTGATAGACTGTTAGTTATTTAGCACTTTTACTATTAGCTTGAAAAGTTATGTACCAGCTCCCAGCTTGATATATAGGATAGGGTATAATAACATAATAATTGGCCTAAAATGTAAAGTAAAACATTAAGATGTATAACACAAAAATAACACTCCTCTGTTCTCACCCCAGTTACTGCTTAATAAAGTAGTGATTAGAATCTAATCAGTTATCAACCACTGGCTTGATAAAGTTCAACAAGAGCATAACAGATGCTCAGAAAAGTCCTTAATTCACCACAGTTAATAATAGAGTAATTAGCAGCTAGTTAATTATAAATTACTGCCATGATGGGGCTAATAAAGGCTTTAAACTCAGAAAAAAAGTATGAAATTGTCAATGGGGCAGTACCTCTCTTATCACTGGGGTGGAACCCTCAAGGGTCCATCTCAGTACCTTTAGTCAGGGAACATAACTGTACCATAATCCACTGAAATGATATTTTCTAAGCTGTACTGACTCCACACACCCCGTCTCGCCTCCAGGCTTTTATTTTACTGTTCTGTTTTAAAACATTCAGTTATGAAAATGTACAAATATGAACTTTTTACCTGGAAAAACTTATATAAGGTTCACAACTGGACCTTAGAACCACTGTTCTATCTTTGAGAGAACGTTTATAATGTTTGTACCCTAATAAATGAAAAATGTACCTGCATAGAACCTTAATTTCTAATGGTGTTCAATGGCATTACATTCTCCCCATATACTGTTACCATTTAGCCTCAAGTACTCAAACAAACCATTTAACTGGTTGGTCACAGTTTATTTGGATGTTCCCCTATAGATGCTCTACAGATACTTAAAATCTCGTAAACTTTCTGGTGATAGTTGATTATCAACAACATTAAGGTTAGGGTTAAGGTTTAGGGGTAGGTGTAGATTTTGCCTTGAGATTAGGATTAGAGTTAGGTTTAGGATTAGGAATAGGTTTAATAGAATCTTTCACATGCAACTTCCAGTTCAGTCGCATTTAATAGATATTTATTCGGATGTTAGTTATAGAGAGACTGAGCATCTGCAAAGCATCTATAGGGGAACATCCAAATAAAGTGTTAGCTGACCTTTGCCCTTTTTCATTTTCAAGTGCTGATTCAAAGTGTGAAATTCTCACTTCCTTTTCAGGATGACTATGTGAGAATGAAACCTGGTGTGGGTCGGGTTCACTCACCTGCAGAAGAGGATAAAAATCCACCTTCATCAGAACCTCGCTCAAGCCTACCAATGCCTCAAACAGGTGCAGTGGTGACCAGCATGAGCAGCCCTGAAATAGACCCGTACTATTTAGAACCATTCCCTGTAACAAATACAGATCTAGATTCAGAATACATAGACCCAAACGCACACAGACTCGGCAGCGTTTATGAAAACCTCATGGCCGACTCCATCCAAGAGCCGATCTATCACACCTTAGATCTCACGTAAAGATAATGTCATTGCTGGTTATGTTGTTTTGGTGGCATTTGAATAAGGCACCAGATTTGAATCTGTAGCAGGGCCATTGGCTCGGTATGGAAAGGTCCAAGGGTCAGTCCAGTTCATTGTAGGGTTGTTTTGGGGTTTCCTTATTCAAGTTGTAATGTGAAGATCTACACATCAACCAAACCTGCAGGAATTCAGCATTCGGCATTCATTATTGTTGTGTTGAAAACAAAATCATAAAAAAGATGGGGAAAAAAAGAGTGAATGAAAAGAAAATGTATTAAAAATCTGTCCCCTATAATGCCATTCTTAAAGTCCTCTCTCGCCATCTCTTCTACACGTCTCCTCTCAAAAGTCCTGCTAACAGAAACACAATTTATCTTTTAATTTACTGATACATTAAAATGCTACATAGACAATCGGTAGAACTGCTCCTTATGAATGGCTTATGAATGCACCAACACTATTTCAAAGATCAAAAGCACACTACAACTAACAATTCAATCTGGGTGATGTTGTGAGGGTCTTGATCAACATTATAGAGGTTTACCCAACCCAAACCAAACAGCGCCCAACAAACTATGTGATTTTTCAGGTACAAAATCAGAAAAAAATGCTTATTTACAGACATTTCATGCACTCACTATTTTCTGTCTTGTACTCTCTCTCTCTCTCCCTCTCTCTCTCTCTCTCTCTCTCTCTCTCTCTCTCTCTCTCTCTCTCTCTTTGTTTCTCTAACATTATAATCTGCATTTGGAATATCTCTTTCTGTGTTGGAATAAAGTTACTTACTCTATATTAGTCTGTACTTCTCTGCCACACATGTTTGTATTTACTGAAATGTTGAATCACTAAAGGCAGAAATATACCTAGAATCTCTCACATGAATTCCTTGTACTTACATGTTTACACTGTACGACTGCATTGTAAATTTCCCCACTGTGGGACTAATAAAGGATTATCTTATACTGAACTTGCAAAGTACTTCATATTTACTATTGAAGTAAATTATGATAAGCACTGCTGTATATATATCTGGTAGTTTTCTAATCTAAATGACTAAGTTAACAAAAATAAATAAATAAATAAATAAAAAGTAATAATAATAATAATTCTGACCTTACTTGATTCAAATGTGTTCATGGGTTTTTACATAAATTCAATTCTTGTAAAAAATGAGTGAGACAAAAACAAAATTTGTTCATGTAACATATTTTATTCATGTGGAACTGAAATTTTTTTTACAAATTTGAATTGAGTAAATTTAGTGCACTTTTTTTGTAATGTAATGTAATGCAAAATTTGAAAGCAAGGCTATTTTATTTATATACCACATTTCATACACAGAGGCAATTTAAAGTGTTTATTCAAACAGAAAAATTAAAGCATTAGATAATAATACAGCTTCTAACATTCTGAGATCTAGCACTTCAGAAAGGCTTTCGCAGGGATAATTATAAAGACATAAGATGTGCATAAGAAGTAAGATACAACTGCGAGTGAGAAAGAGAGCAGTAAGAGTTATTGCTTTCAACCACTGAACAGGAGCCACAACTGAACAAAATCTTACTTCTAAGTAAAAAATGAATCAGTTGAACATCAAAAAAAACTTTACTTGTTTTGTTCAGTGAAAAAAAAATACTTTGAATGAAAGAATTGTTGGTCCCACTTTATATTGTGTCTCTAATAACTGTGTAGTTACATGTGAACAAGATATGCAACAACAATGTAACTATATTTATTACAGAAGTAAACTTTATGTAATTACACACGTGTATCAACTTCAGTTTTGCCTTATATAATTACACAATTGTATCTTAATAACTGTTACAGCCTATTCATGTAATTACACAAAGGTGTAATAACAAATGTAATTACATTTGTAATCAGACTGGAACAGCAGTTTTTTTCAGCAGTAAAGGGAAGTATGTAATAACTTACATTAACACATTAAATACACTGTATCTGACAGCTTCCCTAATATTTATGTTGCTAGTTGTGTGACATTGTAACCAATTTCAACTTTTAACCATTCTGTATGTATATGTGACAGAACAGCAGACATCCCACTTATCTTAAACTTTCATGTTATTCATGTTTAACTACACAGTTATTAGAAATGCTTAATATAAACATATGTATTTTGTTCAAATAAAACTAGTTAATTTGCTTCTTTCCACAAGAAGCATATCTTTTTAGGCTGAACTGTTTGTACTGAACTGAAGTTTTGTTATTTTTTTTATTTTATTTAATTTTTATTCCTTTTACTAACCTCTAAGCCATTAATCAATCTTTGGGGTACTCATGCTGGCAAAAACCCTCCAAAGAGATGATAAAGCTTAGCTGAACATATTTCCAGTTATTTCCAGCACCCTAATTGAGACAAAGCACCAAAGGCTACACTTCTCACCTGTTGAATAGCAGCTGTCACTGAACAAAATCTTATGTCAAAGTAAGCGCAACCTCTAAGTTGGTGATCGATCCTTGGGATAGCCATGTTAGCCTACTTTTAAAAACCTCCAATGAGTTTATGAAGCTTAGGAGAACATTAGGAGAACAAACTAATACTCAACCAGTACTCAAGGTGAATTAACACCTTCTTATGTGCAAATGTTAACTACAACAATATTACCAGAAAATGACCAGAAAAGTACAAACTTCAAAATAAAAGACACTGGGCCTTATTCCCTAACCATTCTTAAGAAAACCAGTTATGTAGTTTTAAGAAGATTCTGACTTTCACCATTGTTGGGATTTGTTTTTAGGTAAGAACAGAATCTACAAACACTCAAGAGCACAAAGGTGTGAACAATTCTGCATATCAAGAATCTTACATAGGCTTTTCCTTAGGACTTTTCTCAAGAACACATTTAAGAACAGACTTAGGAAGATATTGGTGAATGAGGCCCATTATCACTGTACCAGAAAATTACTTGTAAGCACCACATATTTACCTATTAAATGTTTATTTATGGTACCATAAAATAAAGTGCTACTATATGTCTTTTCAAAACATGAAAGTGTTTGCATGAACTGTTGAAATTCCAACTATAGTTTTTGTAAATGGTGTATTTTCACTCTCATGCATATCTGACTAAATAAATGTACATTATTCAAAGATATTGCCTTTTTTTCTTGAATATTAAGGATGTTTGAATATCTGGCCCCATAACTGAGTAAGAATGAGAATTTCAAGATGTGTTCTTACATAAAATGAAAGAAAAACAGTCACGGCTTTTGTTGTAAAAGTAGTGAAGTTGCAGGCCATGTGATTCTGAGTCATTCTGGAAATGAAGAGGAAATGAAACTACATAAGTGCATAACACGTATGAGATAGGAAGCATGCTTTTGTCACACTGGAGTATTTGTTTCTATATAAGTATCTCTGAAAGAAGCGAGGGGAAGTGTGTGAGAAAGTGAAAGATGAAACAGATGTGGAGGAAGACAGCAAACCCAATGAGACAAAAAAAAACATCTGAAACCATCTGAGAAAGTTAGAAAAGCATTTTATAGAGCAGAGCATGGACAGAGAGGCTGCAATAACAACCAGCAAGAAGCATGACCACTCCTCTAGCTAGCCTCATCTTTAGCCTTGCAGGTATGACTGAACATATTGCATGTGCAGAGTCTTATGCCGGTATTTTTCCCCACTTTTTGCTTCACAATTACCTTACTCTGAGCTCTTCTGTCAGTTTTAGGTAGGATTAGTGCTGATACGTTGACCCTGGAGGGTCACGTTGGAGGAGATATTCAGATCAGGTGTTCCCATATCAATGCAGATGACAATGTCAAGTACTTCTGCAAGGCGCCCTGCATGACTGAGAGTGACATTCTCATTAAAAGTGCAAGAAGTGGTGACCCAAATATAGAGGGGAGGTATTCGTTATTTGATGAAGGTTCTGGAGTCTTCATGGTGACCATCTTTAACCTGAAGAAGTCCGACTCTGGGACTTACTGGTGTGGAGTGGAAAGATTACATATACAGTCCCTACATGAGGTGATCTAACAGTACTGGAAGGTAAAGACATGCAGGATTCAGTTTAAAGCAGTGATTCAGGATGTGCTGGACTGCTTATAGTCTTTTAGTCTATTTATTTTGCAGTTCTACTTTTATAAATGGGCACCATCTGTAGTTACGCTGATTAAGACTTGAAAAAAAAAAAGTTGAGAAAAGAAGTTCAAATGTATACAGAAATTTTAGGGCATATTAATCTGCCATATTCAAGTGGTTCCAAGTTTATGTACATTAAGAGCTACAAAAGCACCACCATTTTTTTGCTTACAATGTCATAGTAATAATAATAATAATAATAATAATAATACCAAATGTAACTCAGTTGATTTGCATTACTCTATAACAATTGCTCTCTTTTCGTGAAATTGAAGTAGATATCTACCTTTTTACATGTCATGCTTAATTTTTTGTAATACTATTTCATTCAAACAGTAAAACAAATTAATGATCCTGATCCTAGTGTCACCTCACGATATTAACTCACTGTGGTCCTAATATCGTCACTTTTGCTAAAAAAAAAAAAGAAAGAAAGAAAGAAATAAAGAAAGAAAACAACATAGGGTTTAACTTTGTTTTTTGTTTTTTTTTGTTTTTAAGGAAAGAAAATTCCAGAAAGTGACTCTGGCATCCTCCCCCCAACAAAGTCTCCAGTGGACACAGACAGCTCATGTTCAGCAGAACAGCCAAGCGACATCATGTTTTGTATCAAATGAACGCAAAATAGAGCTTATCCTCATGTTATGTGGCTCACAGTTCACACTGAACATTTAACTCAGACTTTTTGCTTGAAAGTGCAAAAATTTGGAAAGGCATTGCAGAGTGATAAGCTTGACTGCTCTCATTCACAGATAAATGTCTTACAGATGTTGTAGTATTAATATCAAATGTCAAGGCGTTATTGTTGCATGTCTACAGAAACTGCAAATACATAAGTAAATAATAAATATTTAACTGAAAAAAAAACATGCTGTTGCCACCATTGATTTTTTTTAAGATGAGGTCAAGAATTTTAGTGAGTTAAAAGAATGCTCAAAAATATTACCAGAAATGATCAAATTTTTTAAATTTCAGTTTAATTACTTATAATTGAAGGCATCCAAATACATGTCAGTGGAAACCATTTTTAGGGGACAATTTGTGTGAGTTTTGTGTATACTGTTCTTAACAAAAGATCTCCACTCACATTACTTACTTCTGTAACATCATTACAAATATTCACAGACATTGAGTTTCAGCCCAGGTCACAGCTCCACACATGTCCACTTCCACTTAGCAAGTAATTAACACTGTTGTTTGTCACGGGTGCCTGCAGGGGGCAATGTGGGTTATAAGAAATGGTGGCACGAAACTCATTTTATTTGTTCTGACAAAATAAAATAAATTAACGTTCTACTATAACCATTGCTGACTGACTGACACATGACAACTTAAAGCTGCCTTTCAGCACTAAATATAGCATGCCATGGTTATTATAACATGTCCCAATAAACTTATTGAGGTAAGTTTTTTTTTAACCCTCTACTGCATGTATTAAGAGATCAATTTAAAAAATAATTTAATTCACTTTTATTAGATAAAATGGTCCTTGATTTATTTTTTCAGACCCAGTTAAATTTGAAAACACTAAAAAACAAACAAATCAAAAACAAACAAACAAAAAAAAGTATGATGGGGTCCTTTTGGCATATGTTGCCTTGAGGCAACATTATACAGTAAAGGGGAAAAATGATATAGAGCTGTATTCCCTGAAGTGGTGAGACCTGGGTTGTGACTGGCTAAATCCATTCCACTGTCACACAATGCTGCTTCTAGGCAACAAACATATTTCTGCAAATTGTCATAACAAAATTGATACTGAACTCTTAAAAAGAGGTTTAAATGTGCCCACTAAGAGGTAGTATGACCAAGTACATGCTTTTTTATTGACTTATTCAAACTCCTCTATTTGTTGCTAACCCTATCTTTAAATATGTATAACATTATTGTAAAGTGAGGAAGATGAGTTTGTTGCCCTGAGGCAACATCGTGCAATTGAGAGTTAAGATGGTGGTGCTTGCACAATGCAAGGCTCAGTGTTGTTCCAGATTCTGCTACTTAGTAGTTATTATCCAAGATACTTTAGCCTATTTAGTGCCAGGTAAGCATATCTTAGTGCCAACAGGTCTTACTAGACATCGGATTTCACTGCAAAGGCAATTTATTGAGTGATATAGAATTCTGTTGAGAAATCTCCAGGATATCCTGGACTGCTGATGTGACTCATCTAGCTGTGTGGATCCGGCACCAGTGTTGAGAAAGTGAACAAATGTGGGGAAAGCAGAGCAGACTTTAGGCTAAGCTCAGGCTCAATTCACATCACAGCAACATCCATGGTGTAAGAAATGGTTTCCTTCGTCTCTGTCTGATCCCCCCCTGACCTCTCTCTGTCTGGTTGTTCAACGTCTGAGTTCTGGGAGTGCGCTAGAACAAGAGACACAGGCGCATTGATGATCAGACACACTCATTTATTTTGGAACAGAGGGGCCTTTTTATACACTTAGAAGCAGACATGGCTGGCAGTTGGTCAGTACAGAGATAAACAAGATGTCTAAGAACAATACGCAGATGAGCTGAGGTGTGAAACAAACAAGAAACCACGGCTGAACAAGACGTGGCTGCCAAGAAATGTACCTGCAGGTCAAGACGCTCTGTCCTGACACACAGACATATGATGATTAATTTAATGAACTTGGTGTGCTTCCACGGAATTTCCTTTCACACGGCAGGGAGGTGAAGCTGGATGGGTGCAGCGTGTTCAGAGTGGACAGGATGGCAGAGGACTGTGGTAAGTGCATGGTTGGGGATCTGTGCATTTATGGAAGTAAATCATGATGTACAAACTCAGTAACTGAAAGTCAGTGCCAATCTGGAGAATCTGATGATTAAGTGCAGACCCCTTTATTAACCAAGACAGTTCTCAGTTGTTGTTGTTGTTGTTATTGTGGTTTACATCCTTCCTGATGCTAATGTTAAGATGAAGTCATGGAAGAACTGAGTGCAGCAATCAGCAAACAACAAATTGAACATTCAGATTGAGTTTTTATTGCTGCAGGTGACTTCAGTCATACTAATATAAGAACTGTACTGGAAAAATTTTACCAGAATGTCTCCTGCCCCACCAGAGGAGTCATTACCTTGGACCATGTTTTTATATGAATATTGCAGAAGCATACAAATCTGTTCCCCTCTCTCACCTGAGACAGTCTGATCACCTTTCATTTTTCCTGTTTCCAAAGTATGTGTTACTCATCAAATGAGTGAATATATCAATATGAATGTTTGGCCAGAGGGGGCCCTCTCCTCTCTACACTTCATGTGTAATGGAATATATCGCCACATGTATTGACAATGTCACCTCTGTCAGATGTGTCAATCTTTCCCAATCCAAAGCCCTAGATGAATGGAGAGGGTTCACCTGGTGCTATCTTCAACCTGTCACTGGCTCAGGTTACTGTCCCCACCTGCTGGAAAACATAATACCAATGCCAAAGCATCCTGCTGCAGGGACTCCTTCCACCCCAGCCACAGACCGTAAAACATCCTGCCATCCAGGAGGAGACACAGGAGTATCTGGGACAGAACCCGTTGACTCAGGTCCAGCTTCTTCCCAACAAGCATCACACTGCTAAACTCTATGCTGCACCAGTAGAACACTAACATGTATACCATACTCAGCGAAAATAACCTGTATTTATTCATTTAAGTTACCTACACTCTGTGTACTGATGTCGTATACTATACACTCCGTACATGCATAATTTGTACATTGAACACATTGAAGGTATATAAGTAAAAATGGTACCTACAGAATATATTTATCATATAAACTGTTCTTTAACTCTTTCATATATTTTATATAGTTATTACTTGCGCATATAGATATATTACACTTGCACTTTGTTCCATTTTGCACAACACTGCTATGTGCACTTCTGGTAGATTGCTGCCCTATCTATCTATCTATCTATCTATCTATCTATCTATCTATCTGTCTATCTCAATTTGCTCTCAATTTGGTCATTGCCACTTCACAGCAGTGTGTCTAAATAGTTAAATGAAACTTGCCTAAAGAATACCATGCCCAAAGCCAAGTGTAGGTTAAAAGAGTATAAAGCCCCCCCAGCACTGGGATGTGGAGCAGTGGAACTGTGTTCCCTGGAGTGATGAAGCTCCATCCAGTACCTTGGGGATGAGCTGGAGTAATCCAGAACTGATAATCCTACATGACCTCACTAATGCTCTATTAAATCCTCACAATAATGTTCCAACATCAAGTGTAATGCCTTCCTAGAAGGGTGAAGGAGGTTACTGCTCAAAACGGGGGACAGACTCTTTATTAGTACCCTTGATTTTAGAAGAAATGTTACATAAGCACTCATCTACAAACTTCTGACTAGAATGCAGAACCAAATTAGTTTCATTCATCTATCTATCTATCTATCTATCTATCTATGTATCCAATGAACAGTGTCAGTGTATGTTTTGACCCCGCAGATTACCTAGGTTCAGCTCTAAAAGAGAATGAAACTTTGTTTGCTCACATCTCTGAAGAACATAAAGTCCTAATTTAAAAAGGTAACATTAGGAAATATTGCAAATGAAATTTAGTACATAAACTGTTACCAAAACATTTACTGAGTCACTGGACATTTCAGTTAACATTAAGCATTCAATGTTTGATTAATGTCCCTCCCCATAGCTGAACTCTTCTGGTTGGTTCTGCTGCTGTCCGTAAGTTCAGTGTGATGGGAAGGACATCAGACTCTTTACCGTGATGGTCGTGATTTGATTTCAATTCTCCTGACAAATGAACACAGTCAATAAGGTCAGGACAGAGAGAGTGAGTGTGGATTTGTCTTGCTGGAATATCTGTTTGTATAAGTGTCTCTGAAAGAAAGCGAGGGGGAAGTGTGAGTCTGTCTGCCTGTGTGAGAGACTGAACGAATGAAACAGATATGGTGAAATACAGTGAGCACAACTAGGGAAGCAGCAGCCTGAAATCATCTGAAACACACAAACAACTCATACACCACACACAAACTCATAGAGAGGCTGCAGAATTCTTACCAACTGGCAAGAAATATGTCCATTCTTCTCACCAGTATCATCTGTACCCTTACAGGTAGGACTGGATATATGTCCATGTTTGCATTTGAGACCATTTTGTTCCACATTTACTTTATTCAGATCTTTTAATTGAATTTGTTTACCTATCTCTGACCTCTTATGTCAGTTTTAGGTAGCATTATGGCAAACACGTTTACCCTGGAGGGTCATGTTGGAGGACAGATTCAGATCAGATGTTCTCATGGGAATGCCCACAAAAATATTAAGTACTTCTGCAATGCAGAATGTGAGACTGATGAAGATATTCTCATTAAAAGTGCAAGAAACCGCAATCCAAATACCAGGGGAAGGTATTCATTATCTGACAAAGGCTCAGGGGTCTTCATTGTGACCATCTCTAACCTGAAGAAGTCAGACTCTGGGATTTACTGGTGTGCAGTGGAAAGACCCATTAAAGACACATATCGTAAGGTGATCCTAACAGTACTGGAAGGTAAGATATTCAGTAACTCAGTTTAAGAACGTCTGGAATTTTTCGTAACATTCGTAACATTCTCTCTTGAGTCCATCTCAATATGATAGCAAAGGTAAGACATGTATACATATACATATATACATTCATTTGTGGTGCAGTTCAAAATCTACAGATGCATGTATGCAAAAAAAAAAAAAGTAACTTGCAAAAGCACCACTGTGTGTTCTTTCATAAGTCTGTGTTTAACATGCTTGTTTGGCTTGAGTAATGCAGTATTAGGCCAGTTCCTCTTGATGTATTTCTGTGATGTAAGACTGCTGTTTCGACCAGTCAGTATTCTCAAAACTGTTGCATTTGATTTGCTTGTTCCTTTTATATGATCAACACTGTACAATGAACAGTTTCACACCGCTAGAAGTGACAATCATTATTACTTTATTCAGAAACATAAATCAGAACAGATTTCAACCATATTAAGGCACATCCAACCTGAAACAGATACCTGCGTGACAACTCTTGCAGGAGCTGACCTGGTTGCTAATAGTGCAACTTTATCTTTTAACATATCTTTTGACAGAGTTTTTTGTCTTTTACTTTTTGTATGTCTCAGCTCCAAAGCCCACTTCTCGCACAACACCCACACTCTCAGACTGGAGCACATCTAAGGGAACAGGTGAGTAGGAATCCATATAAACCAGAAACTTTTTGAGACACATGATTTCAGGTGTTTGTGTTGTTGTTAGCAAACTTGCATTTCTGTACATGAGCATAGTTTTTATAATTAATTAGTGCTCACCCTCAAGAGCATTCAGCTGTTCAATAAAACAGCAGCATAAAAACATGTCGGCTATGTCAGAATATTTGAATGAAAATGATTTTTTTTTGGCTGAAACATATTTGGATCCACTTGCTAGTCAGCTTTGTCCATGTAGACTGTGTGTCCAAAGTTTGTAGAAGCCTTCTCACCTAACATTTCTTCCAAAATCAAGGGTATTAGTAGGGGGTCTGCCCCCTATTTTGAGGAGTAACATTTTTTACCTTTCTAGGAAAGCATTACACTAGATGTTGGAACATTGATTGAGGATTTGAGTAAGCATTAGTGAGGTAAGGATGGTCAGTTCTGGATCACTCTAACTCATCCCCAAGGTACTGGATGGAGCACCATCACTCCAGAGAACACAGTTCCACTGCTCCACAGCCCAATGCTGGGGAGCTTTACACCTCTCTAGCTTATGCTATTGGCAGTGCTTTTCTTGGAGACTGCACAAGTTCTATTTGCTGTATACCTGTATCAGAAATGGTGGTACCTTAAAGTAGCTTAATTCAGTAATTAGAAGTGGTGTCTCGATACTTTTGGACATATAGTGTATTTAGTGAGATCACAGGCTGTAAATCAAGCAAAATCTAGTGATTGAGATAGATAGATAGATAGATAGATAGATAGATCAAGTCATTCTTGCTGAAGTATCTGATCTTTTTTTCCATGGTGTGTTTTTTTAGAGGTGAGCAAAATGGCAGATTCAGACACATCCTTCAAAGCCACGCCTGTAAAAACTACAACCACAGCGAATTCATCTGATAAGTCTGATAACAGTAAGTAAAATAAATTTCACTTTCTATGTGTTCTTTTTTCTCTCTGAATGGGCATCATCTGTATTTACTCTGAACTAAAGTGTATGTGGACATTCTATTTGCTTCTTCCTTGTAAAACACCAAATGTGACACAATATATTTCATTCCAATGGCAAAGTGCTTTTAACAAACTACTGTATTCTTTTAACAGATAACAACATTTCTTTTATCCATCATTGTCTGTGTTTACATGCAAAGATTTTGGCCAATCTTATTGAATATATACCAATTATCGATTAAGACTGAGGTGTTTATGTCTCACTCTACTCAACAATCTCATTGAAAATCTCCATTTATATTCACACAGTCAGAGAGAAACGAGCAGCAGTGAGCAGCGCTTGTGTTTTTAATTACTTTAAAATGATGTCAGACTCAGGAAAACATCCTTCACATGTCTTTATTAAAGAAGGCCGAGAGTAAGACGTCAGTTCTGAGAAACATAAACTGGACGTCCGTCCCACCACCGTCTTTTAAAGTTCAGAGCATAAACTTCGTCTCTTCTGCAGAACAGTTTCTGCTCCCGCCATGCTGAATGTTATAAACTTTAACTATGACCCGACGAACATGATCAGAACAGACTTAAACTATCTGATAGGGAATATAATCAGATACAGACGTTTTTTACAGGATCACCCACCTCATTCAGTCGGATAGAAACTGTATTCCAAATGGCCTCAATCTGACTAGTCTATTCTGATTGAGCTGTTTGCGGATATTATTCTTCTATTTAACTGATTATTTACAGGATTTCCCACCTCGTTCAGCCGGATAGAAATTTAATTCCTAATGGCCTCAATCTGACTAGTCTATTCCATTTGAGCTGTTAGTTGACTTGTTAAGTCAGGCTGCATGTAAATGTGGCTATTCTTGATATTGTTAATCCCTTAATTTTGAACGACTTTTGACATATTGGTGAAAAATGTTATCTTACTTACAATCCATCTTTTTTGTTTTTGTTTTTATTAGAAATACAAAAGAATTCCAATTTTGTCTGCGCTGTTTTTTTCCAGAGCAACTCATTTATATAGGTGCTGGTTTGGCCGCTCTGGTGCTGCTTTTTGTAATTTTCCTTTTCATACTGATAAAACAAAGTAAACAAAGGAAAGCTGCAGTACAACAAACTGAGAAGGTAAGATTTTTTAATCTCATTTTCTGTGTGAGCAGATTGGGTTGCAAAGAGAGAAGCTTTTTATTGTACATTAAGAAAAAAAGAGGCAAAGATAACTTCTTACTTTTTTTATGTCTGACTGGTGATTCAGGCTCAACACACAGAGAATGTCGCTAAATACTCTTCAGCAAAAACGTCCTCCTCAGTCAATCAGAGGACAACTCCGAGCATTCGGGACAATCCTACGGCCAACCGGAGGCCTCAGTCAGATCCCAGCTCTACTGTATATGCCAACTTCACACCCGCTCATGACTCTCTTAGTTATGCTACTGTGAGCTTTGCCAATCAATCTGATGACCTCAATTACTCCAATGTTATGTTTGTCAAAAAAAGTGATGCCAACACCAGCCACCCAAAGAAGTCTGAAGTGGACACGGCTAGATCTTCATCACCGCTCTACTCAACTGTTAACCCCACAAACAGTTCACACTCAGATCAAGATACAAACGCAGTCATATATTCTACAGTACAGAAGGCAAAGTAGAGTTAATCTGCAATACTAATGTAAAACATGTAAAGCCTTACTGTCTTCCAGCCATTGAGTAAAACACCAGCATGTACATACTTTGTGTTTGAAAATGACTGAATGCACATATCAAGTGACTGTTTCAGTGCAGATGGTCTAAAGTCTTGGTTCCTTTCTTTCACACCTGTTTGAAGTGTCTGCTAATATTTTAAGATTAATCAGAGGTTTTGAGCCTCATTCACCAATATCGTTTTTCATAGATGTGTTCTTGAGAAAGGTCCAAAGAAAAAGTCGGCATCAGATTCATGACGTCTTCTTAAACCACAGAATTGTGAGTGTGTGTAGATTCTGTTCTTTCCTAAGAACAAATCCCAAATAAGAAAACAATGGTGAATGTCAATCTTTGTGAAAACTGTGTGGGTTTTAAGAGAAAACTTAAGAACAGTTTTGAATGAGGCTCATTGTCTGGTTTAGAGGAGTTAATAAAATGGACACATTGAGAAATGAAGTTGGAGGAGATGACCATATTCTCAGAAATAATATTAAATGTATGGCAGAGTTTGTTTGAGTTTGAAATAAGCTTATTTTGGTGGGGCAGTTGAGCCTGTAGTAATGACGAGATAATGTCAAATTCAGTCTCTTCTTTTGGAGCTCTTGTGTTGGAGTCAGACGTTTCCTTGCAGATCAAAAACATAATGGACTCTCACAGTCAGAATTACTTGCACTTCTGTTGTTTCTGCATATAGCAATACTGAGTGAATGTGTTTTATCCTTGTGTATAATTGATGAAGCTCTGAAAATAAAGCTTTAAAAGTGAGAATTTGTTTTGTTTTAGATTTGTTGTCAGCTTATGGCATTAAAAGCCTTTGTGGTCTCAGCCCTGGTAACATTTTTAGAAAAACATGAACAATGAGGTGGAAATATGAATGTAAACTAAATGTAACTTATTGTAAATGAATGTAATATATATTTGGGCTGATTAGGCCCAACCTGACACACCTGTGGACTCCTCTACTTAAGGCTGTGGCGAACAGCAGCCCTTTGTCACACCTTTGTAGAGGGGTGACCGATATGGTACTTAGCCCAGGTGGGTATTTAAACACAAAGGAAAGGAAAAAGAAAAGAGAGAAATTGCCCCAAAGCTACTTAAAAAACAAAAAGAAGGCATGAACTAGTGATGGCCAAATGAAGCATCATGAAGTCTTGAAGCTTTCCATCCAGCTGGTTCTAAAAAAAGGTTCATTTCTTGAAGCTTCATGTGCACACAAACCCCCCCCTGCTGGTCAAAACCTTTATTGTCATTTTCAACTATTTGTGATGGCCTCTTGGCTGTCTTGGAACATTGTCAGCATGGGAATAATCACTGCCAAGAATAGAAATAAAAACACCTTAATTTGATTTTCTGTGGTTCATTCATTTATTCATCTAATCTGATGTGGGTTAATGTGTGGGTAATGTAATAGAGGTCTGTTAATGTCAAAAAACTTGCCAGTATGATTTCAGTCAATAAATAAATCCAATAGGACATGAGATGTTTATGTTAAAACTGTTGCAGTGCTTTCAAGAGATGAGACAGTGATTGTGGGGTGATGGTGACTTTGTTCATTTTTATTAAGAAACAATATTTTTTATATATATGTTCATAAATCACGCCAATACTCGAATGACTTCCTGAACCAGCGAGGCCTCAGACGTCATCAGTGACATCACTCGCCCTTAAGGAAGCAAGCCTCGATACGCGCTTCATAAACGACTTCCTGGATTTCTCAACACAAGCTCAGAAGCCTCGGTATCATTTGCCCATCACTAGCATGAACAAGAAATGGCTCCAAGCCCTACAAAAGGTGTTTGTTCCTCTCATAATCACAGAGGAAGTGTTTTTTGTTTTCTGATTATCTTTTCTGTCCCAGCCTTTGTTTGCCTTTTTCCCACCTCTTTTTATTTCCCATTTTCTCCTATGCTTCCCACTGGTGCAGCGGTAACTCCTTAGACTGCTAATCAATACATCGGCGGTTTGAGTCTGGCTCAATCACCTCAATAAATTAATTTAAGAGCCTTTCTCACAGGTTTTCCCCCCTGCACTTGGGTCCGCCTCCCTGCCGTCCCGTAACAGAGGCCCTGGCTCACAGTCTCCGTTCTATTTTATCCCAAAGGTGTTTGTTTCATGGAGTTGAGGTCAGGGTTTTGTGCAGGCCAGTAAGGTTCTTCCACACCATCACAGAGAAGGGCCTTCCCCAAACTAAGAGGTCTAGGCTGACCCCTGAAAACAACACCATAGCATTTTCCCTCCTCCACCAAACTTTACCTGCCTGACTGTACTATACTGTACTAGAGAGGCTGCAGAACCAACCAGAAAACAATATGACCATTCTGCTCACCGGCTTCATCTGTACCCTTACAGGTAGGACTGGACAAATGTCCCTCTTTGCATTTAAGACCATTTTATTGTACACTTACTTTACTTGGATCACGTAATTGAATTTGTTTACCCAACTCTGACCTCTTATGTCAGTTTTAGGTAGCGTTATGGGAGACACGTTTACCCTGGAGGGTCATGTTGGAGGACAGATTCAGATCAGATGTTCTCATCCGAATGCCCACGAAAATATTAAGTACTTCTGCAATGCAGAATGTGAGACTGATGAAGATATTCTCATTAAAAGTGCAAGAAGCCGCAATCCAAATACCAGGGGGAGGTATACATTATCTGATAAAGGCTCAGGAGTCTTCATCGTGACCATCTCTAACCTGAAGAAGTCAGACTCTGGGACATACTGGTGTGGAGTGGAAAGATCCATTAAAGACACATTTCATAAGGTGATCCTAACAGTACTGGAAGGTAAGATATTCAGTAACTCAGTTTAAGAATGTGCTGAATTTTTGTACCATTCTAATGTTCTCTCTTGAGTCCATCTCAATATGATAGCAAAGGAAAGACATGTAAACACATACTTTTTAATGTACTCCCATCTAACACCCATCTGGAATAAGTGAATCAATACCTTGCTATATGCAAAAACATTAATTTGTTACTGTGACAAAAGACTTTTACCTTGACAGTTCAGGACCCTCAAATCTGTTGCATCAGATTTGCTTCTTTATTTCATGTAATATAGCTGTACAGCCAGCAGTTTAACACTACTGGAAATTCTCATTGTTACTTAAAATTTGAACAAATTTTAACTATATTAAAGCAAAACAAACTCTACACAGATATCTGCATGACAACCCTTGCAAGAGTCGACACAGTAGTTGCCTCACAAATGTTGAAACCATGTTGCTAAAGTGATGCTACAGCAACATTTTTCCACTTTTTTTCACTCTTCTTTCCATCTTTTGTCTTTCACTTTTTGTGTATCTCAGCTCCAAAGCCCACTTCTCACACAACACCCAGACTCTCAGACTGCAGCACATCTAAGGGAACAGATGAATAGGAATCCATATAAACCAAAAACATTTTCAGAAGCACATTTTTTGTTAGAACACTTGTGTTTAAATACATACAACATAGTTTTAATAATTTATTAGCTTTCAGCTGTACAGTAATGTGGCAGTGTGAAAAGATGCGAGCTATGTCTGAATATTCGAATGAAACTGACTTTTTGCTTGGTTTGGTAGCCGTGTGGATCCACCTGCTAGTCAGCTCAGTCCAAATAGGCTGTGTGTCCAAAAGTTTGTAGACGCCTGCTCATCTAACATTTCTTCTAAAATTAAGTGTATTATAGTGCGTTTGTCTCCCGTTTTGAACTGTAACATCCTTCACCCTTCTGGGAAGGCCTTACACTAGACATTGGAACATTGCTGCAAGGAGTTGATTGCATTCAGCCACAAAAGTATTAGTGAGGTCAGGTACTGATGTTGGATAATCAGTTCACTGATTCTTGAGATAAGGCACAAAACTTGGTTTAGGTCTTCATTTTTTTTTTTTATAAATACTACGTTAATGTTGAAATGGACATATTTATAAACAAACGTCTCAGCTAACAAACTACGTGAAGAAACAGGATTTTATAAAAACTTTTTTTAATGAAAACTGACATTTATTCACTTCATAACGTGATTTTGTCAACTCTGTCAGACACATCAAAAAGCACATTATTTTAATTTGATCAATTCAGAAAGAGAGAAGAGTCCTCATTTATCTAATAATGGTGTTCTGTAACAGTTAAGTAATAAATGCATTATACACACTTTCTGATTTTACAATATTTTGAAAAACCCAATTTTGAAATTCCTTAATTTTGTATTTTCATTTTTTTTAAGATTAAGCCAATATAATAAATGTTCTTAGCCAAAGATGACATCATTGCATGTAGTTCAGCTGGTGTTTTAATATATAGCATAAAAATTTGAACAAAGAGCAACATTTCTTTGAAAAAGGACAAAAACTTTCATCTGACAGAGTTGACAGTTACTGTCAGTGTTGACAAACAACTCATGGAGACGAAAACAGATTCAGTATTTATAAATATTTTACTAATGACTGACTGAGATCAGACAAGCTTTGTCATGGAACCCTCAAGGATAGAGGAAGAGATTCCAGGCTATTTCATTCAAACAGTAAAACACATCAATGATCCTGATCTCAAAGTCACTTCACAATGACCGACATCTGATATTAACCCAGTGTAGTCCTGGTATCATCACTTTTTTGCTAAAAAGAAAAGAAAAAAAAAGAAAACAACATGGGGCTAAAGAATGTTTTCCTGCTTTTTTTGTTTTGTTTTGTTTTGTTTCTGTTTTGGTTTTAAGGAAAGAAAATTCCAGAAAGTGACCCCGGCATCCTCCACTCAACAAAGTCTCCAGTGGACACAGACACCTCATAATCAACTGAAGAGCCGAACGCCATCATGTTTTGTATCAAATAAACACAAAGTAGAGCTGATCCTCACGTTATGTGGCTCACAGCTTACACTGACAATTTAACTCAGACTTTAGGCTTGAAAACACAGACATTTGAATAGACATTGAGAGTGTCTTAGTGTACTTCCTGAAAGGCTTGATTCCTCTCATTCACACATGAACGTCTGTTACAGAAATTGTAGTATTAATATCAAATGTAAAGGAATCATCATTGTATGTCTACAACAACTGTAAATAAATGATTAAATAATAAATATTTCATTTAATAAACATGCTGTTGCTGCTTTTATTATTATTATTATTATTATTATTATTATTATATTGATAACTGAAGGCATCCAAATACAATCTGTTGCAGTTACTTTTGCTTCTGTAACGTCATTACAAATACCAACAAACGTCGAGTTTCAGCCCAGGTCACAGCTCCACAACCACTTCTATTTAGCAAGTAACTGACACTGTTGTTAGTCACGGGTGCCAGCAGGGGGCAGTGTGGGGTGTAAGAAATGACACCATCAAATGATCCCACCAAACCTGAGCAGGAAAGACCAGAGAGGAGGTGTCCACCACCAGTCTTCTAAAGAACACAGCACTGCACACTGTCTCTGATTTACTACATATGACACTTCAGCTAGTCGAGAGTTTGATCAGTGGAGCTACACCTCAAAAAGTGGTGGCACAAAACTCAAGCAAATGAATTTTAGTACATAAACTAAACTGTTACCAAAACATTTACTGAGTCGCTGGACATTCAGTTAATATCATATATTCACTGTTTGATTAATGTCCCTCCCCCTAGCTGAACTGTTCTGATTGGTTCTGCTGCTGAATCTGTTTATTCCTATAGGTCAGTGGTCTGTGCAGTTTAGAGAGAGCAGAGTTTTCAATGTACAGTTTCCTGAAATCAATCAAAAATTGGTGGGTCATCACCCCTGTATTTTCAAAAGAGGTGGATCAAATGTGCGCTCACCCCTGTGATTCTGGAGGCCGTGGCTTAATCTACAGAGCTGTTCATGAGTTTAATGTGATGGGAAAGACATTAAATTCTTTATCATGGTGGTCCTGATTTGATTTGAATTCTCCTGACAAATGAACACAGTCAATAAGGTCAGGACAGAGAGAGTGAGTGTGGATTTGTCTTGCTGAAATATCTGTTTTTATAAATGTCTCTGAAAGAAAGTGAGGGGGAAGTGTGAGTCTGTCTGCCTGTGTGAGAGAGTGAACGAATGAAACAGATATGGTGAAATACAGTGAGCACAACTAGGGAAGCAGCAGCCTGAAATCATCTGAAACACGCAAACAACTCATAGACCACACACAAACTCATAGACAGGCTGCAGAAATCTTACCAACCGGCAAGAAATATGGCCATTCTGCTCACCAGTATCATCTGTACCCTTACAGGTAGGACTGGATATATGTCCATTTTTGCATTTAAGACCATTTTATTCCATGTTTAATTTACTTGATCTCTTAATTGACTATTAAGTGTTTACCTAACTCTGATCTTTTATGTCAGTTTTAGGTAGCGTTATGGCAGACACGTTTACCCTGGAGGGTTATGTTGGGGGAGACATTCAGATCGTGTGTTCCTTCAAGAATGCTGATGATAATGTCAAGTACTTCTGCAACGCGGTATGTAAGACTGATGAAGATATTCTCATTCAAAGTTCAAGAAACATCAATCCAAATACAGAGGGGAGGTATTTATTATTTGATGGAGGCTCAGGAGTCTTCATCGTGACCATCTCTAACCTGAGGAAGTCAGACTCTGGAACTTACTGGTGTGGAGTGGACAGAACCTTTAAAGACTCATTTCATAAGGTGATTTTAAAAGTACTGAAAGGTAAGATATTCAGTAACTCAGTTTAAGAATGTGCTGATTTTTTTTGTACCTTTCTAATGTTCTCTCTTCAGTCCATCTCAATATGATAGCAAAGGAAAGACATGTATACATAAACTTTTTAATGTACAAATCAAGTGAATGAATACCTTGCTGAATGCAAAAACATTAATTTGTGGTGAAGTTAAAATCTACAGATGCATGTATGCAAGAAAAAGAAAAAAAATAACTTGCAAAAGCACCACTGTGTGTTCTTTCATAAGTCTGTGTTTAACATGCTTGTTTGGCTTGAGTAATGCAGTATTAGGCCAGTTCCTCTTGAGGTATTCTTGTGATGTAAGACTGTTGTTTCGACTAGTCAGTATTCTCAAAACTGTTGCATTTGACTTGCTTGTTCCTTTTATATGATCAACACTGTACAATGAACAGTTTCACACCACTACAAGTTACAATCATTATTACTTTATTTAGGAACATAAATTGGAACAGATTTCAACCATATTAAGGCAAATCAAACCTGAAACAGATCACCGCATCACAACTCTTGCAGGAGCTGACATTGCAGTTGCCTCAAAAATGTTGAACCCAGGCTACTAATGGTAGAAAATTATTATTATTTTTTTTTTTTACTTATCTTCTGACAGAGTCTTTTGTCTTTTACTTTTTGTATGTCTCAGCTCCAAAGCCAACTTCTCACACAACACCCACACTGTCAGACTGGAGCACATCTAAGGGAACAGGTGAGTAGGAATCTATATAAACCAGAAAAAAAACAGAGACACAGAATTTCAGGTGTTTGCGTTGTTGTTAGCAAACTTGCCTTTCAGTACATGAACATAGTTTTTATAATTAAGTAGCATTCTCCTTCAAGAGTGTTCAGCTGTTCAATAAAACAGCAGCACAAAAATTTGTCAGAATATTTGAATGAAAATTTATTTTTTTGAACGAAACGTATTTGGATGCATGTGCTAGTCAGCTTTGTCCATGTATACTATGTGTCCAAAAGTTGTAGAAGCCTTCTCACCTAACATTTATTCCAAAATCAAGGGTAGTAATAGGGAGTCTGTCCCCCATTTTGAGCAGTAACACCCCTAACCCCTCTGGGAAGGCTTTACACCAGATGTTGAAACAGTGCCGTGAGGATTTGATTGAGCATTAGTGAAGTCAGGTACTGATGTTGGATGGTCAGTTCTGGATCACTCCAACTCATCCCAAAGGTATTGGATGGCGCTCCATTACTCCAGAGAACACAGTTCCACTGCTCCACAGCCCAATGCTGGGGGGGGCTTTATACCCCCCTAGCTTATGCTTGGCTTTGGGCATGGTGACCTCAGGCTTATGTTTGGCTGCTGCAGAGTATCCTATTCTATTGGCAGTGCTTTTCTCTGAGACTATACAAGTTCTATTTGCTGTATACCTTTATCAGCAATCAGTGAACCTTAAAGTAGCTACATTCAGTAATTAGAAGGGGTATCTTGATACTTTTGGACATATAGTGTATTTAGTGAGATCGCAGGCTGTAAATCAGGCAAAATCTAGTGATTTTAGATAGATAGATAGATAGATAGATAGATAGATAGATAGATCAAGTCATTCTTGCTGAAGTATCTGATCTTTTTTCCATGGTGTGTTTTTTTTTAGAGGCGAGGGAAATGGCGGATTCAAACACATCCTCCACAGCCACGCCTGTAAAAACTACAACCGCAGCAAATACCTCTGATGACAGTCAGTAAAAGAAATTTCACTTTCTATGTGTTCTTTTTTCTCTCTGAATGGGCATCATCTGTATTTACTCTGAACTAAAGTGTATGTGGACATTCTATTTGCTTCTTCCTTGTAAAACACCAAATGTGACACAATATATTTCATTCCAATGGCAAAGTGCTTTTAGCAAACTACTGTATTCTTTTAACAACATTTCCTTTATCCATCATTGTCTGTGTTTACATGCAAAGATTTTGGCCAATCTTATTGAATACATACTGATTATAGATTAAGACTGAGGTGTTTATATCTCACTCTACTCAACAATCTCATTGAAAATCTCCATTTATATTCACACTACAAGTAATTAGATCCAAAATTTCATGCATGCATAGCAAACCTCTTTGTGTGGACGTTACCACGACAGCGAACATCACGTGAGTCCAGTCAGAGATGAGTAGCAGTGAGCAGTGCTTGTTTTTTTTAATTACTTTAAAATGATGTCAGACTCAGGAAAACGTCCTTCAAATGTCCTTATTAAAGAAGGCAGAGAGGAAGACGTCGTGTTCTGAGACACATAAGCTGGACGTCCGTCCCACCGCCGTCTTTTAAAGATCAGAGCATAAACTTCGTCTCCTCTGCAGACCAGTTTCTGCTCCGCCATGTTGAACGGTATAAACTTTCACTATGACGAGATGCACATGCAGAACGGACTTAAACTTTCTGATAGGGAATGTAATCAGATACAGGCGTTTACACGGATATTATTCTTCTATTTAACTGATTATTTACAGGATTTCCCACCTCGTTCAGCCGGATAGAAATTTTATTCCGAATGGCCTCAATCAGACTAGACTATTCCGATTGAGCTGTTAGTTGGCTTGTTAAGGGATTATCAGGCTGCATGTAAATGTGGCTGTTCTTGATATTGTTAATCCCTTAATTTTTAAGGACTTTTGACATATTGGTGAAAAATGTTATCTTACTTACAATCCATCTTCTTTGTTTGTGTTTTTATTAGAAATACAAAAGAATTCCAATTTTATCTGCTCTGTTTTCCAGAACAGCTCATTTATATAGGTGCTGGTTTGGCCGCTCTGGTGCTGCTTTTTGTAATTTTCCTTTTCATACTGATAAAACAAAGTAAACAAAGGAAAGCTGCAGTACAACAAACTGAGAAGGTAAGATTTTTTAATCTCATTTTCTGTGTGAGCAGATTGGGTTGCAAAGAGAGAAGCTTTTTATTGTACATTCAGGAAAAAAGAGGCAAAAATGACTTTTTACTTTGTTTTTGTCTGACTGGTGATTCAGGCTCAACACACAGAGAATGTCGCTAAATACTCTTCAGCAAAAACATCCTCCTCAGTCAATCAGAGGACAACTCCGAGCATTCGGGACAATCCCACGGCCAACCGGAGGCCTCAGTCAGATCCCAGCTCTACTGTATATGCCAACTTTACACCTGCTCATGACTCTCTTAGTTATGCAACTGTGAGCTTTGCCAATCAATCTGATGACCTCAATTACTCCAATGTTATGTTTGTCAAAAAAAGTGATGCCAACACCAGCCACCCAAAGAAGTCTGGAGTGGACACGGCTAGATCTTCATCACCGCTCTACTCAACTGTTAACCCCACAAACAGTTCACACTCAGATCAAGATACAAATGCAGTCATATATTCTACAGTACAGAAGGCAAAGTAGAGCTTATCTGCAATACTCATGTAAAACATGTAAAGCTTTACTGTCTTCCTGCCGTTGAGTATAACCAGCATGTACATACTTTGTGTTTGAAAATGACTTTGAATGCACTATATCGAGTGACTGATTTCCAGCGCAGATGGTCTAAATTCTTGGTTCCTCTTTCACACCTGTTTGAAGTGTCTGCTGATATTTTAAGATTAATCAGAGGTTTTGAGCCTCATTCACCAATATCTTTTTTCATAAATGTGTTCTTGAGAAAGGTCCAAAGAAAAAGTCTACATCAGATTCATGACGTCTTCTTAAACTGCAGAACTGTGAGAGTGTGTGTGTGTGTGTGTGTGTGTGTGTGTGTGTGTAGATTCTGTTCTTACCTAAGAACAAATCAGATATACACAAATAAGATAACACTGGTGAATGTCAAAATCTTTGTGAAAACTGTGTAAGTGGGTTTTAAGAGAAAACGTCTTCTTAAGAACAGTTTTGAATGAGGTCTATTGTTGGTACCTCTCAGCAAGTGAACAGTAAAATAAATAAACAGAAATTTTGATGGGTTTAGAGGAGTTAATGAAATGGACACATTGAGAAATGAAGTTGGAGGAGATGGCCATATTCTCAGAAATAATATTAAATGTATGGCAGAGTTCGTTTGAGTTTGAAATAAGCTTATATTGGTGGGGCAGTTGAGCCTGTAGTAATGGCGAGACAATCTCAAATTCAATCTTAATCTCGATTCTTTTGGAGCTCTTGTGTTGGAGTCAGAAGTTTCCTTGCAGATCCAAAACATAATGGACTTTCACAGTCAGAATTACTTGCACTTTTGTTGCTTCTGCATATAGCAATACTGAGTGAATGTGTTTTATCCTTGTGTATAATTGACGAAGCTCTGAAAATAAAGCTTTAAAAGTGAGAAATTTTTGTTTTAAGATTCATTGCCAGCTTATGGCATTAAAAGCCTTTGTGATCTCAGCCCTGGTAACATTTTTAGAAAAACATGAATAATGAGGTGAAAAAAATTAATGTAACCTAAATGTAATATATGGTAAATTAATTAAATTTAATGTAAATTGAAAAAAAAAAAAGAAGCTCTATCCAGAGATAATGTAAGTATGTGATGCCCACAAGTAAAACTGATATATTGTTGAGCTTTTGGTTTTCTCTCTCTCTCTCTCTCTTTCTCTTCCTCCCTCTCTCTCTCTCTCTCTCTCTCTCTATATATATATATATATATATGTATAAAATATACATGTGTGTGTGTGTGTGTGTGTGTATTTGTTTTTGTGTGGTCAGAACCTGATGTTGGATGAGAGTGTAAGGGCCCAGCCTGCGCCGCCGGCCGCCAGCAGAGGGCAATAACAGCGAGGTGCCTTAAGTTTTGGGAACTCCAATTCCCAGAAGCCCTTAGGCTGATTAGGCCAAACTTGGCACACCTGTGGACTCCTCTACTTAAGGCTATGGCAAAAAAAAAAAAGCAGCCCTTTGTCACAGCTTTATAGAGGGGTGACTGGTACGGTACTTAGCCTAGGTGGGTATTTAAACAAAGAGGGAAGGAAAAAGAAAAGTGGGCTGGAAAAACAAAAAAGAGAGAAATTGCACCAAAACTACTTAAAAGCCAAAAAGAAGGCTTGAACAAGAAACGGCTCCAAGCCATACAAAAAGCGTTTGCTCCCCAAAGAGCAAACAGGTGGAACATAAAGTCGACCTTCCTCTCATAATCACAGAGGAATTGTGTTTTGTTTTCTGATTCTTTTATTTCACCTTTCTGTCCCAGCCCTTGTTTGATCATGCTGCTTTCAGTGGCTTTTTCCCCACCCTTTTTTTTTAATGTCCTATTCGTTGAGGTGTCTTTCCTGCCTTTGCCTGTGCTTCCAGGTGGTGCAGCAGTAACTCCTTGGATCGCCAATCAATACAGTGGCGGTTTGAGTCTGGCTCTGAGCCACCTTAACTCCAACGTGCACAATCACCAAATTCAGACTCCTTCACCTCATTAAATTCATTTAAGACCCTTTCTCACTGGTTTTCCCCCCTGCACTTGGGTCCGCCTCCCTGCCATCCCATAACAGAGAGGACCTGGCTCACAATCTCTGTTCTATTTCATCCCAAAGGTGTTTGTTTCCTGGGGTTGAGGAGAGGATTTTGTGTGGGCCAGTGAAGTTCTCCACACCAAACATACCCACAGTCACAGAAAAGGGCCTTCCCCAAACTAAGGGGTCTAGGCTGATCCCTGAGTACAACAACATATCATTATCCCTCCTCCACCAAACTTTACCTGCCTGACCACACTGTGTCAACTGTAATGTTCTCCTGGCATTCACTAAACCCAGACTCGTCCAGATAGAGAAGCTGATTCATCACTCCACAGAATGCTTCCACTGCTCCAGAGTCCAGTGGCGGCACTTTACACCATTCCAGCTGATGCTTGCCATTGTGCTTGGTGAAATAAGGCTGGCATGCAGCTGCTCAGCCATGGAAACCCTGCCATGAAGCTCCCGGCACACAGTTTCTGTGCTGATGTTGATGCCAGAGGAGGTTTGAACTCTGCAGTTACTGAGTCAGCAGAGCGTTGGTGACTTTTATGCACTGTGAGCCTCAGGACTCTGCAACCCACTCTGTAACATTGTGGTTTGACACTTGGCTGAGTTACTGTGGTTCCCAAACACTTCCACTTTTCAAAAATACCACTCACAGTTGACATGGAATATCTAGGAGAAAAGAAATGTTGCAAACTGACTTGTTGCAGCGGTGGCATCCTATTACAGCACCATGCAAGAGCAACTCTTTAGACCCATTCCATTACAAATGTGTGTAAAGGCAGACTGCATGGCTAGATGCTTGATTTTCCACACCTGTGGCAAATGGACAGAATGAAACACCTGAATTCAATGATTAAGAGGTGTGTCCCAATACTTTTGACCATATATATTTTTGAGTGTTGACAACACCTTCTTTGATGCATCCTGCAAGTAACATTTTCTTATCAATGCAACGTTTAAAGCTAGTTCTACATCTATAATGTAATTGCAAGTGTATTCAGAAAATGCTGTTGCCTCAGCTCTCAACTCTGACTTCACTCAGCACATGATTGTGGCTGTTGTTTTGCCTCAAATGCCTGCAGGTGGCAGTGTGGAGATTTGTTAGAAATACTTTTTCAGCCAAAATGACCCAACCAATCAGCTTTCAGTCAGTCATTCAATTGTTATTGAATACATGTCATGACATCTAACGTTTGAAAAACATTAACCTGCATTAAAATTGGATTAAAAAGAGTTGGACTGACATACAGAGTCACAGAGGGAGCTAAATGTTGATGCTCACAACCTCTATGGCCATTACATTGTTGTGTATATGGTCCATTTTACTTATTAAACATATCACATAGCAAAACACACCCATTTTTATTGTCTCTTCTGGTCATTCTAACTGTTAAAAGTTCATGAAAAGGCTGTTAGAGGCGAGAGCATCCCGGAGGTCAAAGTGGCTCAAAAACCACATCCTGCCCTCTCCTACACACTCATACACATTTGTATTCCAGTCTTTGTGGGGTATTTCCATGCTCTTCTGTTTATGTGTAACCAAAGCTTCACCTTCACCTTAACAAGTGAAATATCAGGTTTGGCTTCTTTTCTTTTATGATCAAAGCTTCAGGTTGTAGGGCTATTCTTATAGAGAGCAGCCAAATGACCCCACGACCACCAAATGTTCATATTTCCTTCACCCGGGGGGCACTCTGTCCCTGCAGTGAGCTAAATACACTCCACACACAAACACCGACACATCACACATACACAGATTTTCATGGTCAAAGGCAGAGCTGAGCTCTCACACATGCGGAAGAGACGCATCATCTATGAGTTTAAGAGCTTCATAAACACATCATGAGTTCTAAGAGGAAGAAAATATGGGCATTGCAGTCAACGGCGCTGAAAGGAAGGAGACTGAGAACACGTCATTAAATAACAACTTTTTATGGGATTTTAATTCTGAATATACATTTGAGAGCTCTCAAGAATTTCTCTGGAAGGTTCATTTTGGATCGCCAGAAGCTTGAATTTCCCAAAGGTGAAGATGTCTTTCAGCATATCGTTTACTCTACTAGCTGGTAAGATTTTGAAAAAAAAGAGTTTCTAAGACAAACCAAGCAGTTTTCATGTTTTACAAAGTTTCTATGAGTAAAATAATGTACAGCATAGTGAGAATTCTTCAGAACCTCTGTGAATGAAGAGAAAAATGAATCGTTCTCTTTGTTGTGGCAGTTGTGAGCGGCATGCTACATGACGAGATCACAGAGACAGGAACAGAGGGCAACGTTGCTGTCATCACCTGTCCTTATAGTACAGGATATGAATCTTACACCAAGTATTTCTGTAAAGGAGGCTATTCAGACTGTGTAACACTTATAAAAAGTAATGGGAAGGAACCCTGGACATATAAAGGAAGAATCATTATGAATGACAACACTGAGCAAAAAAAGTTGGTAGTGACCATCAGTGACCTCAGAATGGAGGATGCAGGGAATTACGGCTGTGGAATCGAGTCAACAGGACGAGACCCTTTTACTTTAGTCCATCTGAAAGTGATTAAGGGTATGTGCTGTTTGGGTTTCTCAGCTTATGGTTTATATTCTGTGTTGACTGTGGGGGTCATGATGGGTTGAGCTGTCTGATTTCTCTCCATCAGCTCCTAAGCCACCAAAAACAACCCAACCAAAGCTCACACAGTCTCCACCACCACCTGCCACCAAAAACAACCAAAGCAATGCTCCCACACTCTCCACCAATAAAACAGGTAAGCTATTTTCCTGCATTTTGAACGGCTGGATGTTTTAGCTTACAGATTGACCCTCAGGGTGAGAGTTCCTTTGTTTAGTTCCTTGACAAGAATCCGCAACATAAAGTGGCACGCAACACAAAGTTCAATAATCAAACAATCAAGTTTTCTCTGCACTTTTTAAAGCACAGATTTTAATTGTTTTGTTCGACTCCTAGGCTATCACTAAGTTAACCATAAGTATCACATTTATTAACTTTTATTTTTTATTAAATTTATTTACCGCCTCTTACGTTATTTTACTTTTTAATATGTTCAGGCTATCAAAGTTTTCAGTACAGATATATATTTTATAAATTGTTAGACTACACCTAGAGGTGAAAGATGGCTAAAATTACTCTCCTTACTTTGGAAGAGAAAAAACGTTTTCACCAAAGTCGATAAAATAGGTTTCGATCCTATACAGTTTCCCCTGAACTCCTGGTCCCACTTAAACTGATGGAAAGTTACCAAATTGTGTTTTCCTGACATATTGATCTCGTATTCAGCCCCTCTCCCTATTCTGGAGCCTCTCAAAGCATTTAAAAACACAGAAGCCCAACGGCTCTTCATGTCAAGGTAAAGGATCCCATGGTGTTCATAAAGAGGAGATAAACTCTTTGTGATCATAGGAGGGTAACGACATCAGCTAATTAACACAGATGTGAACAATGCTAGCCTTTAGAGAACTTTAGCTGATGTTAACAGCCGAGAGATGAACAGTCGCCCCCTAACGGAGCTGCAGACCGCCGGTATAACTTCACTCTCTGTTTCTGGAGATTTAAATGAAGTTTGAGTGGAGAAACATAAGCGTTAAATATCAGACTGAATGTCGTGGGTCGGAAAACGACGTCGTGTTTCGACAGATGTGATTCTGTAAGTTTACTAGTGCAGTTAGTGCAGAGTTCAGCTCCAGTCCTGAAACCCCTGCACTGCATAACTGTGGTTTCCTGGTTAAAATACCTGATATTATTATCTAATTAATCCTTTCTTGAGCTGAACGAGGTGTGAACAGCAGAGAGAAACACTGAACTATACAGTGCAGGGGCTCCAAACCTGGAGTGAAAACACTGAATCAAAGGTCTGTGTGTCTCTCGGCTTCTGTTGCGTCTTGCAGATGAATCATTCACAAAGCACAGCAAAACACAGGCTTCTTACTAACGCAGTCACTCCCTGACTTGGTCCTCAAAATGGCAGCGCTTAAACAGTGTGACGTCACGCAAATTAGTTCCTTTTTTAAGTTATAATGACTCCAAAACTTCTCTGTTTTTTCCATTTCTTCATTTTATGGTAACTTTTCTGTATTTCCAAGCACACATTGCATGATGGGTAATTTACCTGTTAGTCTGCTGCTTACTGCTGCAGCAGAGAGTACATAGCTACTTTTTCACTATGATGCATTCAAATGTGTTAATAACATTGTAACTGTATGAAAATACTAGAAATAGTGTTAAGCTAGATGTGGCTACAGTGTAATACAACAGCTGTAGTTACACTAATTAACATAGCTGGTAAGTTAGCAAACAAACTGTCCTAAGATTAGCCATATTGTTTAGATTCTTTTCCTGTGATCTACAGCAATGTTAACTACCTTAATCAGTCAGCATGAGCTACAGTTTCCCAGAAATGTTAAGGTTTTGTCCATAAACTAGACAAAGTAATTCAAGCGTATGAAAACCAGCTAGCTAAGTTAGCTAATGTTAATTGGTGGCTAAACAGTGGCCGAATAGCTTCACTGATAAATATTGATATTTCTTGTTAAAGGAGCAGAATGTTTTATAAAAGATGGCAGATTTATGGGGGCAACGCTGAAAAAACAAACATTTTATTGCAATGATCACGATTTTACATCATGTTTTATTGTGCCACTGAGGGCAGGGTTACTCAGAATTATTTGAGGTTTATTATTATTTATTTATTTATTTATTCATTAATTAATTAATTATTTATTTTAACAGTAATTTCCATTAAATGGGGAAATGTCTAATGGAATTGTCTTAATTTTACAGTAAAAAATAATTATATATATATATATATATATATATATATATATATATATATATCATACATACATACATTATTATATATATTATTATATATTATTATATTATATATATATTTATATATATATATATATATATATTTATTATATTATATTATTATATTTTTTTTTATTCAACAGAATTCTGTTTTAATACACTAGGTTATGAAATAGTAGTGTGTGTGTGTGTGTGTGCGTGTGTGTGTATGTGTGTGTATGTATATATATCTTTCTTTACCCTTCGGAAGAACTTATTTAAGGAACACAGTTGGATCTTAAAACTATTGTACTTTTTCTTACTTGTTTGTTCCTATACCTTTTTTTCTGACAGTGTCTGGAGACTGATAAGTGTCTATAAGGCAGGCATTTTTGTAATTGATTGTTATATAGAAAGTTCTGTGTAGTTTGTGCATAGCGGTTTGGTATTTCAGTCAGAGACTGTGTACGTGTGTGTGTGTGTGTGTGTGTGTACGTGTGTGTGTGTGTGTGTGTGTTGGTGTTTTTTTTTTTTTTAGAGAACTCCACTTCAGCAGTGACTAATGGAACAGGAAGTACAACAGAGGACAGAGGAAACACCACTCAGCCTGCCACCCACCATCCAGACTCAGGTCAGCACAAAACCACATTTCCCACAGTTCTTTCTCTTATCAAACATACTGAGTAACAGCAGTAAAAGTAACTGTAGTGATGATTCGTAGAAAGTTGGACTTTCATTGAGCATTTTCTGAGTTTGAGTGACTGACTGACTTTCTGATCTACTAATTGAAAATAAGTAGATTATACATGTATTGAATTTTATCGGGTCCTTTAGTGTGAGTGCCTGTGGAGACAGTGGTGTGATGGTGGTGGGAGGGGTGAGGAGGTTAGCTCTCAAACCAAAAAGACTGCAGTGTTTCTCTTGTTTGTGCTGTTAACCATTTTGAATGATCTATGGTCATTTTAATCATTACATTTTTACATTTAATATTGGGTTTGGTAACACTGGCACACACCAACCTATTATAATTTTGATCACATATCTGTTCCGGTGATCCAAAACAATGAATTGAAAATGCAGCCTTTCCATATCATTAAAACTCTATCGATTATAAATGTTTTTAAATATCAACTGCTGTTCTGAAGGGTTTTTAATTAGAAACTAAACTAAAACATCCCATGACACAAATGCATATAAAACTGTTCTTGACCTGGTGTGGGTGGAGGGTAACTCCTCACACCACAGCACAAAGTGACTTGGCTGACCTGAGTTCTCAACCACAGAGGGGAAAACAGAGGTGTCAAAACAACAACACATTCTGTCTCTAACTAGACACATCAGTTTGTTCAGTCAGAGACGACACATTTTCTGCTACTTTTAAGACAAAAATGTTTAAATATTTTTGCCTCTAGAAACAGAACACATTTTTGTGTTACTTTGAACATGGAACGTGTTAAATCTGAAAACAATATGACACAAAAAATGTTAAAACAGGTAACAAGTAAGTGTGTTTGTCATTTAACACATCACTTGTTGGAGTGCAGTTCCGCAATGAAGCGTTGCTCAAGCACCCAGCACAAAGGACCTCTTAGCTGGGGTGTAGCATCGCTCAAGTGCCCGGATCAGACAGCCTTGTAGCTGTGGTGTAGTGTTGCTCAAATGGCCAGCGAAGTCACCCACTTAGCTGTGGTGAAGTAGGTGTAGTTGCTAAATTGGCCAGCCTGAGAAGTCTCATAGCTGCAGTGTACTGTCACTCACCGCCCAGCCCAGGCAGCCTCTTTAGTTGTGGTGTAGTGTCACTCAAGCGGCTCACACACATACAGAGAGAAAGGCCCAATCCCATTACGCCTACCTCTTGTTCTCTTGTTTTTGAGTGTCTCCTTGTCCCTTGGAACTGAGTTACCAGGGCTAGTGGATGAACTCTTCCCTCTGAAATGGGACCCTCAAATAAAGAACATTGCTTCATTAACAGCTACTAGCGCTGCTCTGTAGACGACCCTGCCAGTCTGCAGTGACAGCAGAGGAGTGGTGAAGTCCAGCAACCTCACTGCTGGGCTCGCAAATGGTGCACCAGAATGTAACTGCTGCACCATTTAAGGTGGAACAGGAAATTTAGCTAGCTAACTACATAGACATCAGCAAACTACTATAGATTTGTTATGCTTGTTATGAAGAAAAGGACCATAATACACTGAAACGACATTAAACTAATAACTTATTATTATTATTATTATTATTATTATTATTTTAACAGAGAAAATTCTCACATTTGTGGGTTTCTTTGGTCTCCAGTGCAGCCATCTTGCTGGTTTTTCTTATTTTCTCTGAATACCGTCCGTTTGGAGTGCCATGTAGCCCTAACACTTCGCCCTCTATCTCAATAAAATCGGGACACCCTACCCCTAGATGTAAACTGTCAAAATGGAGGGGTAGGGGCAAGGGGTGAAATGGGACTGGGCCAAAGATGCCCTCTCAAGGTACAGAGACAGACTGTCTCAAATAATGTGCTTAAGTGCCTAAAATGTTTGCACAGCACTCTATGTATTAAATATACAGAGTGAGACGAGCAGCAATGACTTACCTGAGTTTTCAGCTGTCGCTCTTGTGTTTTTAATTGCTTTATAATGATGTCAGACTCAGGAAAACGTCCTTCACACGTCCTTATTAAAGAAGGCCGAGAGGAAGACGTCGTGTTCTGAGACACACAAGCTGGACGTCCGTCCCACCGCCGTCTTTTAAAGATCCAAGCATAAACTTCGTCTCCTCTGCAGACCAGTTTCTGCTCCGCCATGTTGAACGGTATAAACTTTCACTATGATGCGACGAACATGATCAGAACGGACTTAAACTTTCTGATAGGGAATGTAATCAGATACAGGCGCTTACACGGATATTATTCTTCTATTTAACGGATGATTTACAGGATTACCCACCTCGTTCAGTCGAATTTGAAATTGTATTCACAAAGGCCTCGATTGGACTAGTCTATTCTGATTGAGGTGTAAACATGGATGTATTCCGTTCTGATTTCAGCTATTAGTTGGATTATTAACAGATTATCATGGTGCCTGTAAACGTAGCTATTCATTACTTAAAAAACAAACAAAAAAAAAGGTAAACCTTTCAACCATATCAAATATGCAGACATATAATGGTGACACTTATGTACATAAATAAACATTACTGGGCTCTAAGCAGCTGTCATTGATAATGCTTTGGAAAGTTCTGACTTTTTTTTTTTATTTGTTCTAAAAAATTAGATGCCTTCATCAGCATTGGAGGAGTATTCGGTGGAGTCCTGCTGGCACTGGCAATTATATCTGGAATCTTTTTTGCCTTAAGATGCAGTGCAGAGAAGGAAACGGCAGGTATATAACAAACATTTACCTTTTAAATACCTAATTAATTCATTATCAAATGAAAAAAAAAAAATCCATCTTTATTACTTCCATTATGGAGTTTCCCTAAAGCCTGTTTTCTCTTGGTCTCAGCTACAACTCTGCCGAACTCAGAGGTGAACATGGAGGTTTGTACAGATAATTTATTTATTTACTTATTTACTAATTAATGAGAAAAAAGTGTATGATTTCATAATTCTGACCTTTGAACCTTTTCAGGAGGTCCGGTTGTATGAGGAGATACAAACCACAGATGCCGCCCAAGCTAATGGCTCTGTCTCTACCTGTCAGGGCACAGTGCTGCACTCTGGAAATACCTCAGCGAGTGACCGATGTTCTAACCTTCATCCAGCATGTATCACCGTGTACTCTGCAATAACAAATCAGGGCCTCAATTCACACTCTGATGACACCTGTCCCGCCCAACACACACACTATGCTGTGACCCCCATTAAGGGACTGCACAGTGAAACCCCCCAAAGCTCAAAAGAGCCAAATTATTGCAAAGTATATTTTGCAAATGATAAAACTATGGATGAAAGTCCGACATACTCACTCATCACTGTCCCCCAAAACTGACAGTGTATCACATTACTCAACTATTCAGTTTCCACAAACTCTCAGCTCGGACCAAGAGCACCAAAACATCCAAAACATGGTCTCAGAACAAGAAATAGACCATGTCTATGATAATGCTAATTTCTGCTAGGATTTCTAATAGCATATTAATGTTGCCCAACTTATTTTATTATTATTATTATTATTATTTTTTTTTGTTGTTTGTTTGTGGGGGTGGGGGAGGGGTTGGGCTATTATAAATTAAACTCTGACATTTTATGTTTGGAAAATATGGAGCCCCTAAGGGGAATATGTGGTGGTGGTTGTTGGTGTTGGTGTTGGTTTTTGTTTTTTTTTAGGTAAAAATCTGGTGAGCACCAGATTCTATCAGATACACCCAAGGTACTATGTGGTGACCACCAGCTGCTATCCAGTGAGCACCAGATACTTTCAAAGCATATTACCATGTCTGTATTTGGCGTTAGATACTACCACATGGTATCTAGTGGGCACCTGGTAGTATTGGGTGCTAACCACATTTTATCTGGTGCTCACCCGATATTATCAAGTGCTCGCCACATAGTATCTGGTGCTCACTTGTGATTTGTTGTTTCCAATATTAATTAAATGAATGTATAAGACATTCTGTTCAGCTCTTGAAGTCCTGGGAATGCTTGCTTGGCTGTATCTACCGAGATTGTCTAATTGGACAATTTTCCTTTGGCTGTTTTAATATTTTAACCCATCTGTTCCTCACTAAAACTTAATAATGAAGTAAGAGTTTTATACTTATTATTATTGTTGTTGTTGTTGTTGTTGTTGTTGTTGTTGTTGATGATGTTGTGATGATGATGATGATGATAACATAATTATGAATAACAAATTCAGTAAAAAATTAGACAGGTATGCTTAGTTCCCAGAAATCATTTGTTTCCTGGTAAAACATCTAAATATTGGTGTTTGAATGCAGTCATAAAGAGTTATGCCATGTTGTAAATAACCATGTATCAAATTTATTTGACAGACTACAAGTGTTCTAGTGGGTGTCTCTTTCTTTTACACAATGACTCATTTCCCTTTTTCCTGTTGATTTAATGGTATTATGATGAACAGTCCGATTAGACAAATAACAAGACATAATTTTACACCTACAAATGATGTTCATGCACCTGTCTGGAACCTCCATGCAGCCATGACTGATTTTGTTGCTTAAATCTGCTTGAAGGTGAAATGTCTTCAATGTTTGGTATTTTTGATAACTAAACATTTATGACTCTGAGACTGACCTTCATACTGCTTTCATATGGAATGTAAAAACATCCCTACAGCTGCTGCATTATAAACAATAAAACATGTTTTCCACTATAGTGTCTTTGATGTTCAATGTTTTACTACAGTCATTTTACTCATTTTGATTGAGGTTGGTTTATAATTACCATCAGGTGAGCACAACCATCAAAGTAATGATGGGGCTCCCGAGTGGCATCTAAGCGTTGGCCCTATCATCAAGAGATGGCGAGTTCGATCCCTGGTGATGCGACAGCCATCCGTAGCCGGGAGTCCAAGAGAGCACAATTGGCCTCGCTCTCTCTGGGTGGGTAGGATGGCCCCCCCTCTCCCCCCATCACCCAACGCGATGCTAGTCAGCGCAGGCGTCTGTTAGCTGACGTCACAGATTTGGGGGGAGTCCTAACTAGCGGGTGGAATTGGAAACGACTAAATTGGGGAGAAAATTAGGTAAAAAAAAAAAAAAAATGTGATGTAAAAATTATGTAGGTGAGTCTAAATTTTATGCCTGTTAAAAGTAGCAATTAGTAGTGTCTGATGCAATAATAGGAACAAGCAAAGCTCTAAAATGGGTTTGCGGCTTGTGTGGGTAAAAACGTGGGCCCTCGTTGACTGAAATGGAAACCTAAAGCTGTGGGTAACCAGTAAATGTCACAGAGCAGTGGGTTAAGGGAGACTGTATACAGAGGCTTCCCCAAATTAACTCATATCACCACCGATGGACACACAACCTGAACTACACAGAAAGATGGTTCTTCCAGGGTTTTTAGTAAAGAAAATGGTTCTATAAAGAACCACGAACACTCAAAAAACCCTTGAATGATTAAATCACTCTTTGCATCATGAAAGAGTTCTTCAGAATGTACTGTAGATGGTTCTATATAGGACAATTTTGAAAAAGGTTCTATATGGCACCCAAAAAGGTTCTACTATTGTTACGATGTTAATCTTGTCACAATAGAAGAAACTTTTTGGTGCTGTGTAGAACCCTTTTTCAAAAGAAGCTTTATATAGAACCATCTACAGCACATTCTCCATCAGTGTGAAGAACCATTCCATGATACAAAGAACCCTTTAATCATGCGATTCTTTCATTCTTTATGGAAACATTTTCTTTACTAAAGAATCCTCAGAGAACCAGAAAAGTGTAGGTATATTCTAAAGTTTCTGATAATGGAGAATGCTGCTGCTGCTGCTGCTTCTTCTTCTTCTTCTTCTTCTTCTTCTTCTTCTTCTTCTTATTATTATTATTATTATTATTATTATTATTATTATTATTATTAAAGTAATTACTACTATTATAGTAATAGCAGTGTCAGCATTCATATGCTTCCTCTCAACAAAGCTGGTACAATTCTTCTACTGATTTATTTAGAAATAATTTTTGATAAGAGGCCATAAGAACTCTGTAATATTTCAGTCTTCTTGTAGGTGAGTTTGGGTTAAGATAGCAAGCTGTTCATTAACGTTTGTCAGGTGCAGCTGCCTCAGATTAGCTTAAGAAGCTAAAAAGCAAAGATATATGTAAAGAAAGCAGTGGTCATAGGAAGCCTTCATTCATTGGAAAAATTCCAGTCAAATTTAATACAAATATTAATACATAATACATATTGACCATTCCCCAAATTGTTGGTCATTTTGCACTTTTAACGGACTTGGTCTTAAGACTGAAATTCTTTTGCTTTGAGTGACTTTACACCTTAATTATTTATTAAAGGAAATGACTAAACATTCTATTTTGTCACTAACAAAACAATCATAACAACTGAAACTTCATCGAGTTTCGGGTAGTGCCCCCACTGTGCGGCTATAACAGCCTCCACACTTCTAGGAGGCTTTCCACAAGATTTTGCAGTGTGTCTGTGAGAATTTGTGACTAATCAGTCAGAAGGGCGTTCGCGAGGTTAGACACTGATGTTGGACGAGAGGGCCTGTCTTACGATCAACCTTTCAGTTCATCTTGTGTTCAGTGGGGTTGAGGTCAGGGCTCTGTGTAGGCCACTGGAGTTCCTCCACACCAAACTCATCAAACCCCATCTTTATTGAGCTTGCTTTGTTCACAGGGGCTCAGTCATGCCCCCTGAACTGAAAAGGGTCTTCGCCAAACTGCTAACTGTCCTCGTTAGTATAGTAGACAGTATCTCTGCCTGTCACGCAGAAGACCAGGGTTCGGTTCCCCGAAGGGGAGATCGCTGGCTTTTGTGGGGCAGTCGTGGGCTGGAGGTTACGGAACCAGCCTAGTGACCGGAAGGTCGCCGGTTCGATCCCCTTGGACAACAGTACATGACTGAAGTGCCCTTGAGCAAGTCACCTAACCCCCAACTGCTCTCCGGGCACTGTGGATAGGGCTGCCCACCGCTCTGGGCAAGTGTGCTCACTGCCCCCTAGTGTGTGTGTTCATTAGTGTGCATGTATGTGGGTGTTTCGCTGCACGGGTGGGTTAAATGCAGAGGTGGAATTCCTGTGTGCAAAACACAGTTGGCTAAAGGTTCTGGATTCTAATTGTCTAAAATGTCTTTGTATGCTATCAAATCAACATCATACTTCATTGAAACCTTGAAAAAGAGCCCCAGTCCATTATCCCTCCTCCACCAAACTTTACTGTTGACTATGTCTTCCAGTAGGTAGCTTTCTAGTAGCTTAGTTTAGATATTTTCTCTCTTGGCAGTAAACCTAACCTAGAATACATTTGAATGACATTAAAACAAACAGCACTGATTTTATGTATGTCATTATATTGGTTAAACAATTTCCAAACTTACCCTTAAGGAAGCACAGTATTATTTGTAGTTACCATTTAAGTTCTGGTTATAACCGTTTGTCAGTTTATAAGCTGTGATTGCTTACTACTGTCTCTGAGTGGATGTGTCCAAGTTCATTGTGGGTGCCTCTTTGCACATCAACCAGCAAGATAATTAATGGTCACTAAAATATTACAGGCATCATGCATACTTGAGAGGACGTCGACCGCGTTGACTACATTCCCTCTTATATTCTTTGACAGAAGCCTTTTATTGTTAAGCCTTTCAGTCTTCCGCCATAGTTAGCTTTAGGAATAGGTTTCCAGTTTTGGTTAGGATAAAGGTTAAACTTCTCTCTAGCAAAAGGATATTTTTAGTCATGTGTGCCGCCCTCGCTGTCGCTGACCCAACCACACATTTACTGCTTTCCACACACACTGTTCCTCACTTCCCATCTCCTTATACCCACAACCTCTGGCCATCAGTCTAAACTATATGTTCTTCGTAAAAGACAGGTCTACTCTTCACTGCTATTACTGTTACTTTCATCACATTTCATCGGCACCTTTTTGAGGAACTAAAATAAATACAGCAACCCAGAACCTTGACTTGAAGTTGTCTAAAACGTTCTGTCCAGCTTCCAGGAATCAGCATGAACACCACAGCGGTGGCACTGACAGCTCTTACTGGTGAGCCCTTCTATCTGTTTTCTTTTCAACTGTTTGTTGCCATTAGTCAAATGCATTTTTACTATGTCTGTCCAGCTTTTATTGGCATCACTGTTCTAGCACTGGATGACTTTCATAGTGTAACAAAGCTTTTTTGAAAGGATAATTACCATCACCAGTATATTGCCTCCCTTGAGTGTACACTGTTAGAAATAAAGGTTCTGTGCAGGTGCATCTTTCCTTCATCAAGGTACAAACAATGTAAATGTTCCCTCAAAGGTACAACAGTGGTTTTGGTCTGATTGTGAACCTTAAATAGGTTGAGATGGGGTGTGTGGAGCAGCTTAGAACATATAATTTCAGTGGATTATGGTACAGTTATGTTCCCTGACTAAAGGTACTGAGATGAACCCTTGAGGTACCACCTCAGTGACAAGAGGGGCACTGCCCCAGTGATAGTTTTGTACCTTGACGTAAGGAAGGAAGGAAGGAAAGAAGTAGTGCTGTTTGTTGTGCTTGTCATGTTCTGTGATTTGGCTTGTTATGTACAGTGCTTTATCTTCTATCTGAAGAGCGAGGAGTTCTGCCACCCCCATCCGTCCATTTTCCCTTTAAAGAACCAACTAAAATGGCAATATGAAATGATGGTTCTATTATTCTTCTCTCCCCCTCTCTCTCAGTTTTACACTCTGTGATGTCTGCAGGAGTCAGAGTGAAAGCACCACTAGGAGGAAACGCTTCGGTCCACTGTCCGTATCAAAGAGGAAGTGAGCTGTACCCAAAATACTTCAGCAAAGGCAGAGAAAAGGTTGAGATGGTGAAAGCGAAGTCCACAACATGGTCCATGGAGGGTAGATTCTCGCTGGAGGATGACAGAGAGAAGAGGGAGTTCACCGTGACCATCAGGAACCTCAGTGTAGATGATACTGGTGTGTACTGGTGTGGAGTGGATGACTGGGGGCCAGACACGCTCACAGAGGTCCTCCTGGATGTAGTGGCACATGTTCTATTCAGCACAGAATCCTCAAACACCCAGAATGGTGAGGAACAGGGATATGTGACAGTTCCCCCCACCGATGTTAGTAAATGCACTGTTAAGTACATTACATTCATTGTGGGTTTGGAAGGAATTTAGTTAGCCTCAAATCTTAGACAGCCAAAAGACACTTTTCTGCTTTCTATTAATTTTATTTCATCTTGAAAAAAGTTTCAATTTCACTTCTGGACTGTACTATACTGGTGTAGACCCTCAGTCCAAGGACCTGCATAGAAACCCAGGGGACTGATAGGTAGAGGTTAAGTTGGACCAGAACATTCTAGAATAGCATTCTGTCAGAACAGAACAATAAAATAAAAGCCTGGAGATGAGACAGGCTGTGTGGAGTCACTACAACATAGAAAGTATCATTTCAGTGGATTATGGTATAGTTATGTTCCCTGACTAAAGGTACTGGGATGTACCCTTGTACCCTTGTACCCTTATATACCCAGTGACAGTATAGTACCTTTATTTCTGAGAATGTAAGTTTGAAGGCAAACTTTGATTTTTGAGCCATATCCAAGATTCACTAAGCATATAGTCTGTCACTGCCAGTATTACTTGGAAAAATTAGGGGTCAGTCATGTTTCGGCATTGACAGATGACATTGCCTGTAGAGTCTTTGGGGTCTGAATATGTGATTTTCTCTTTCTCCCATGAGCTGCTCCCTGTGAATCTACGTTGTCACCAACAGGGCAACAGAACAATATCTCCGCAACAGGTAACTAAGTACAACTACATGTCCTCTACACATTCCGCTCTGTCTCACAGTTGTTTATAGTCCCCATTTGAACTGTATTTGTTCAGTTGAACCAATGGCTCTTGCGGGCTGGTTGGCAGGAGTGCCGCTGTTGTGTGGGATAATAAGTGGAATACTCATTAAGCTTAAGTGGAACAAGGCCAGAAGAACCACAGGTAACTTAGATTCAGTTTTACTGGAAGTAGGAATATAAGTAATGGTCAAATTCAATGTATGCAATTTTAATATAGTTTATCAGCCAAGTCATGTTGTGTTGTGTGTTGTTTTTATTTATTTTATTTATTTATTTATTTATTTTTTTTGTAACACTATTTTAACTACAGGGACACTTCCTACCTCCAGCCACAGCAGAGAGAAAGCAAACAGTGAACATGCAGAGGTAAGATTGAGGTAAAATCAAGACGATTGATACAAAATGAATGACTTTAATGATAATGACAGTGGCAATAACAATGAAGATATCGATGATAATCATGATAATATTTGAGAAGCAGGACGGCACAGTGGTGCTGTAAGAAGGGCCTGGGCTCGATTCCCTGGCCCGGGCGACTAGTATCCTTTCTGTGTGGAGTTCTTCCCATGTCTGGGTTTCCTCCAGTTTTCTCCCACAGTCCAAAGACATAAAGACATGCAGTGAATATGTATGCCTGTGATGGACTGGCGACCTGTCCAGTGTGTTTCCTACTTTCTGCCCAATGAGTGCTGGGATATGCTCCAGCACCCCCTGCGACCCAGGAGGATATTTTGTGTGTGTGTGTGTGTGTGTGCGTGTGTGTGTGTGTGTGTGTGCATATGTATACTTGAGAGGTCATGTACTGATTCAAAATCTGAAATCCTCACTTCCTTTGCAGGAGGACTATGTGAGAATGAAACCCAATGTAACTCAAGTTGACTTGCCTGTAAATGAAGAAGACTCATCTTTATCAGGACCTCATTTGCCCCTAGAGCTACATCAAAAAGGAGCATCAGATCCCCCAACTCCTCAGCAGAGCAATGTTTATGAACACCTCAGAGCAGACTCCCAGCAAGACTCAGTCTATCACACCTTAGATCTAACGTCCAGATGAGATTACGGGTTCTCAAGCCTTTCATGCATGGTGTCCCCATAGGGGATAACTTAAACAGGTCAATCAGGTATTTATAAATATGTGTGTGTGGACCACATGAAACAATGAATAGAATGATATTAAATACTACTTGTATCTTAGAGACAAAACTGAGCATGTTGTTTTCAGTTTTGATAAACAAACAAACAAACAAATACGTTCTACAGTGAGTTCTCCCCAACACCCCCAGCCATCACATGGATTTGTTAAATACCATCCTTAGCACCCCTGATTTAACTCTTAGAAACCTAAAATTTCAGGGGAATTTGTTTTGGTATTTTTGGGGTCAATTACTATTACAATTGCAGTTATAAAGTATTTACATAGGACAGTCACACATGCCATGTGTGGTTATTTTCAGGAGACCCTGGGTTACTCAGATATTCCATTGTTTGACATGTAAATACTAAGAGAAATTTGATATCTTTATGAATTTGGGTCATTTCTGATCAATTTGATTTACTTAGCACCTGCTAAATCTTTGTATTTTTTTAATTAAAGAGATCTTGAAAACAAGTGCAGTTGTAGTTAACTTTGCAGAAATTGTTAGTCTGGAGTGTCTGTGAGCTGAAAGTGCAATAATTTTGATGCTGATTCATTCTGTTGGTTATTATGAGTAAAAATAAACATGGCCGTGGGCCATTAGGCAGCCATGTTTTATTTATTCATGCTCAGTGCTAAAACTCTGATACACAGCAAGTCAGGCTTTATTTTTAATTACAAATTGAGTTGCATATTTAATATCAGATATTTTTAATACTCGAAATCAATGTAAACTGAAAGCCCTTTGTTTATAATATGAAGGCTAAAAGCAGAGATGTAGTATAACAGTAGTGAGTGGGTTTGGGTGATTTTGGAGCTGGATCTCTGGCTGATTGATGGTCACAGGTGGATGAAATCACTCTGGATGGGTGAGGCAGAGTCTGATGAGTGATCCGATGTGTAAATCATGTCGCTGTTTTAACCCTTTGCTGGAATATGAAGGCCAAACAACAGAGCAATAATATCAGGATTTTAGGTGATTTTCTGAGCCAAATTACTCACTGATGCTGATGTCACAGCTCAACGACATCATCCTTGCTAGTTAGAGGTGGGTCTGCTGAATGTCGTGCCATATGGATCATGTTTGTATCTTAAACCGTTCTTAAGTTATGAAGGCTGGAATTGACCTACTGTTACCGTCTCCGGGTCCTAAGGGTTAACTGAATGAAGCACTGATAAGCCAAACCAGGTACTGGATGATAACTACACACTTAAAAAAGATGGTTCTTCAAGGGTTCTTCAGTATAGAAAATGGTTCTATATAGAACCATGAACATGACTCTTCTTTGTTCTTCAGATTGATGGAGAATGTGCTCTAGATGATTCTATAAAGAACCTTTTTGAAAAGTTCTATATTGCACCAAAAAGTGTTCTGTTGTAACAAGCTTAACATTGTAACAATAGATGAAACCTTTTTGGTGCTATATAGAACCCTTTTCAAAACCATATAAAACAGGTTCTCCAACAATGTAAGAACCCTCATGTTATAAAGAACGATTTAATCAGGCAAAGGGTTTTTTGAGTGTTCGTGGTTCTATTTAGAACCATTTTCTTTTCTAAAGAACCCTTGAAGAGCCATCTTTTTTAAGAGTGTACAGTTAATATTTGGCTTGGAAATGGTTTATCAAGAACATGCACATACAAAATCGATACTGTTTGTGTTCATGTTTTTGTATTTATTCAAATGTTTTTGAGCAAAAATGTTCTTAGATACTAAACTGTTGAATTGTAGTCTATGAGCAGAAAAATGCTTAATAAACAATGTATATTCAAAACAACAGGGGTCACAATTATTTTCATCTCTTATAAATGCTTGTGAACAAATTTCCTATTTATATTTCACTTTTTAGGTTCTCCAGTGTGTTCAGGAACTAATTAACCAGTCATCCATGACATCCATGTGTCAGTTATTGGATTTAGAACTTCAGTTCAACCTGTGTAGGGGAAAAATACACTTGCTTCCTTTCCATGCAAGTCAAATGGTCTTTATTGTCATTCCTCCATATAGCTTGTATACACACACACCTTCTAAGCCGCTTATCCTTCATGGGGGAGCTGGAGCCTATCCCAGCATCCAGTGTAAGGCAGGATACACCCTGGACAGGTCACCAGTCCATTGCAGGACAGACATGTACATACACACACACATAGGGGCAATTTAGCATGTCCAATTGGCCTGACTGCATGTTTTTAGACTGTGGGAGGAAACCCACACAGACACAGGGAGAACATGCAAACTTCACACAGACAGGACCCTGGTCACCTGGCCAGGGAATCAAACCCAGGCCCTTCTTGCTATGAGGCGACAGCGCTACCCACTGCGCCACCAGCTTGTATATGTTGGAATGAAATGTCATACTTCAGGTCACATGATGCAACACACAACAGCAGCACTTTACACAGGACTACATAGAATGCAGATAAACAACAGTGTGAAATAAGTGCAGAATGTCTAATAAATACACCAGACAATATAGAAATATACAGAACAATAAATACGACAAAATATATGTAATTGGGCATCATGTATATGTAGACACACATACATATACATTGTTGAAACTGTACAAATAGTTAAAGGATTTAAAGTGCAAGGTGATGGTAAAGGAGTGTGTGATCAGTGGTGGATGTCGGTAAGGTTCTAGATTAGTTCAGGTGTATGTTGGGAGGCATCGGTGCATTCAGTAATCTGACCGCCTCTGAGTCTGGTTTCAGATAGCAAGAGGGCGAAGAATCCATGAGAGGAGTGGGAGGTGTCGCCCACGTTGCTTGCGGTCTTGCGGATGCAGTGGTAGTGGTTGAAGCTGGCAATGGTGGATGAAGATACCTCAATGATCTTCTCAGCTGCCCTTACAATCTGCTGTAGGGTCCTGCGGTCTCAGAACCTGTAGTGAGGACGGGAGGGGGGATTCTTCTTTTTCGCAGGAGGTGAAGTCACTGCTGGGCTTTCTTGGCTAGGCAGGTGGAGGTGAGGGTCCAGATGAGGTTGTTGGTGACACCAAGGAACTTGCAGCTTCTGACTTCCTCCGCAGTTGAACCATTGGTGTGCATGAGAGTGATCATCACACGTCCTCATGAAGTCAACAATCCTCTCTTCTGTCTTGTCAACATTAAGAGAGAGATTGTTGTCTGTGCACCAGTCTGCAGGCCGCTGCACCTCCGCCCACTATACTGACTCGTCAATGTTGCTGATAAGATCCACCTCTATCATCACCAAACTTGATGTGATTTGAGCTATACACTTAAAAATGATCGTTCTTCAAAGGTTCTTTAATAAAGAAAATGATTCTATGTAGAAATATGAACACCCAAAGAACCCTTTACATGATTTAATGGGTTCTTTGCATCAGGAAAGCGTTCTTCAGATTGATGGAGAATGTGTTGAACATGTTGAAAAGGGTTCTAAGTAGCACCAAAAAGGGTTCTTCTATTGTTACAGGCATCATAACAATAGAAGAAACCTTTTTGGTGCTATATAGAACTCTTTTCAAAAAGGTTCTATATAGAACAATCTACACACACTGTTTAATCGTGCAAATGGTTCTTTGAGTTGTCATGGTTCTTTCTAGAACCTTTTTCTGATGCAAAGAACCCTTCAAGAACCATCTTTTTTAAGTGCGGACCTTGCAGCACAGTCATGACTCAACAGTGTGAATAGCAGAGGACTGAGCACACATCCCTGGGGGGCACCAGTGTTCAGGGTGCTGGTGCTCAACATGGTCTACCAGTCAGGATGTCCAGGATCCAGTTGCAGAATGAGGTGTTCAGGCCCAGCTCAGCTTGCTGTGCTATGATTGTGTTGAATGCTGAACTGAAGTCTATGAGCAACATTCTCACGAAATTTTATGTCCAGTTGGGTCAGTGAGAGGTGAATTGCAGAGAATATGGCGTCCTCTGTTCCAGTTACTGTCCTCTAGACCACTTAAGATCTGAAATGGATCCAATGTGGAAGGAAAACTGCTCTTCATGTGTTTCATGACCAACTGCTCAAAGCACTTCATGATGACAGGAGTGAGTGCTACGGGTTGGTAGTCAGTGAGGTGAGACAGATTTTTTTTCAGTGCAGGGATGATGGTGGCTGTTTTGAAGCACTCCAGGGCAACTGCTTGGCTCAGAGATGATAATCTTATTTAGAACGGCATATCTACAGCACATGATGCTGTACATGTGAGACAGACTGTTATGACTTGTAAAATTCATGTTATCCTGACATTAAGAAAATAAATATTTCAGATTTCACATTTAAACTTGTTTCTTTTTGTACCATGCATGAATTTTGAATTACTTTCTTACTTTCTCATACATAATAAATCAAAAATATACTGATTATGTATGAGATCAAATAAATACAGGGTGATTCAAAAAGAATCATCTGATTTCAAAATTTCACTTGTATCTTAATCATTAATCATTACAGAACAATGCAGTAAATTGTAAATTATTTGAGTGAGTATGAAGTTTATGTAATTTTACAAGGTCTCAGTATGAACCACCTCCAGCTGTACGGACACATCAACGCCATAGTCAAATTCATCCCATACTTGATTGAGCATGTCGGGTGTCACTGCACTCACGGCTCTTTCAGTGCGATTTCGGAGATCATCCAGTGTTGTGGAACCAACGACGAACGCTCTGAGCTGTTGGAGCTTCACTGCCCATGAAAATCACATTGCACAGTTATGACTGATTCACTCTTATTGAAGTGGAGAACGCTTTCTGCTCAGGGGTCGCATCTCCTCACAGACTGAAGGGAGCCATCTTCCACTGACAGTCAGAAACTCTACGACCACCTCTTTCAATTGGATTGTGATTGGTTCCTAGGCGCCTCACGTTTGTGAAAATATGGCTCTTTGAAATTGGATAAATCTTTTTGAATCACCCTGTATAATGCCAATTATGTTTAAATGAAGACAAATAGGGTAAACTGTGAGGACAATGAAGAAAAGTATAAGCAGCTATAGCGAGTGAGAAAATGTAGGATCATGGAAGGTGCGAAATATAGGGGGTCCTGTTGGGTCTGGGTGTCCTAATTAACCTCCCGGGTCCCTGACAATAAACTTAATGACATTATGCTGTACGGTAGCGAAAAACAAACACTATAATACAAATCCAGGGTCTTTATTTAGCCTGTTTCACCCACAATTGGCATTTCGGTTTTCAATATTCCTACCCGACTAGAGATGCAGCACTCCTCAGAGAGGCGCTGTCTCGAATTGGTTGGTCCTTCATAGCCTAGCAACTGTAACCTTGACCAGAATATTTCAAAAAACATTACATTTTGCCAAAGCATATTTCTAAATCTGCATATTTCTAAATCTAAGTTCCCAAGAAATTTCCCAAGAGATCGGTCGAAAGAGTGAATTGTTAGTCATTTCTCAAACCAAAGACAAAAGAGGAAGTGTGTGCGATTAATTAAAGTGTAGAACACAAGAAACTAACTAGAAAAAGTGTTTCCTAAAGAAGAAGTATTAGTTGTTAGTAGCCTGCCACTGCTGAAGTAGCCAGCCAACCTGAGCCCCCCAAAAACCAGGGGGTATTTTTGCACAGTGGGGTCATGAATACAAAAGTCAAATGATTCTAAGTTTCCCTGCAGTTTGATTTCTATCATATTCACACGGTGAATATGTGTGCATGAGGCCTTTGAGTCGTTTGCCCCCGCAGTGCCTGTGTGCACTTTCTTTTATCTGTGCTATTTTTAAACAGTGCTTGCATGTTGTCTGAATATGTGAATGTGTCAGACATTGAGTCTCTCTGCACATCAACCAGCAGGATGATGAAAGGTCACCAAAGGTTTTTGCTCTCCTTCTGAGGATGAGTCAGATTTAGGGTAAAGTTTAGAGAGATAGTATGACAAAGCAGTGGATCCTCACCATCACAGTAAAGTCCATAACCATTTACCATGCAACTTAGTAGGCCAGCATACCAGCATGTAGAAGGGTCATGAAGCATGAGCATGTGCACCTGGTGCTCGCTCACTCACCCAGCCAGCTTTTCAGGCACCCTCGTGCTCACTTCCTCTCCTTACCCAACCTTTTACTGACAGTCTGCACTGTATGTTCTTGGAGGCAGAAAGAAAAACGCTGCGGTTGACTTGGTTACGCTGAAGGTTTGTGTCTACTTTTTGCTGCTATTAGTCTGTATTTCTTTTCTTCAAGAAAGAATTAAAATAATACGGCAAATCAATAATAGTAATAATTAATAAAAACAATAATTGGTTTGTTTCTAAGTCGTCTGAATGTTTTATTCATTTATAGGCAACAGCATGAACATCACAGCCGTGGCCTTGCCTCTTCTTGCAGGTGAGTTCTTTCATCTGTTCTCTTTCATCTTTCAGAATTCAGAACTGCCTGTCTACCGTCAAATACATTTTAACCCTTAAATGGCCAGAATCCACCAGTGGGCCCAAAGTTTTATTGTGTTTCGTTGTAGAATTCTGTAACTGAAGAATAGCTCAGCCAGTTTGCCCTGAAGTCCCTGTAATTACTGGATAATAAGCCTTAGTATGTATTAAGCCTGGGATTTTAGGGTTAGGTTTTAGGGACTATCTCTTCTATAACATCCTTATTCTAGGATGAAAGTGACCCTTCCCACTTACACTGTAACTTCAAGGGATTTTTACCTTTTGGCTATAGAAGGATACATTTTATACCCGTTCCCTCCAACCTATCATACTCACAAAGTACCAGCTATCATCACACTATGTTCTTAATTATTATTTTCTCTCTCTTTTTCAGTTTTACACTGCGTGATGTCCATAGGAGTCAGAGTGAAAGCACCACGAGGAGGAAACGCTTCTGTCCGCTGTCCATACCACAGAGGAAGTGAGCTGTACCCAAAATACTTCAGCAAAGGCAGAGAAAAAGTCGAGATGGTGAAAGCGAAGTCCACAACATGGTCCATGGAGGGTAGATTCTCTCTAGAGGATGACAGAGAGAAGAGGGAGTTCACTGTGACCATCAGGAACCTCAGTGTAAATGATGCTGGTCTGTACTGGTGCGGAGTGGACGACTGGGGGCCAGACACACTCACAGAGGTCAACCTAGATGTAGTGCAAGGTATTCTATTCAGTATAGAATCCTCAAACACCCAGAATGGTGAGGAACTGATGTTTGATATTGACCTTTTGCTCTTCACATCCAACTCTGTGTAGCTTATCTCACCCTTAAGTGACCACAATGTCATCAATGGCCTTAAAATCTCTGACTAGGATTTTTCTTCTTGTCAACTGAAAAAGATAAAATACATAACTTCAACATAGTATAAACAAAATACGTCACGTTCTTGTCCTTCAGTTTACTTGCTGCTGGCGATAATTATTGCTATATTGATGCAGTTTAATTCCATGCAGCAAGGAGAGTGGAGCAAAATCTTGGGTGGAGATATTGTGTAGTTAAATGGGTTAAAGTAGAACATCCTTCTAATTATCTTCTCATATTCCCATAGAAACATCATCTGCAGCTCCTTTTTAATAAAGATGATTCTTAAGATTTAGCCACGTTTTGATTACTGAGCTGTGTGCATGAATTACAGAATTCCCTCCTGTATTATTTGTATCTCTTTCTTGGTGCCTGTAATATAGCTCCATTTCAACTCATGTAAATATGGCTACGTTCACATTACGAGGCTGAAGTGCGACAAACCCAGTTTTTTGCCCTAATGTGACTCAGATCTGATGTTTTCAGGGCTGTGTGGACACAAATCTGATCTTTTCAAATCAGACCTGAGCCACCTTCATATGTGGTCCTAGATCTGATACGTATCCGATTCGTGGCCATGTGACCTTAATGTGACGCTCAGATCGGAATTCATGTGCTTTTTTTCCACTGCGCCATCATTCGGCATTGCCATGGCAACAGCGTCGAACAGAAGTTAAAGCCTGTAAACGGTGGAAAAGCAGCTCATCTCACCTTTTTCTCCTTCGTCTCGCTCTAATAATGAAGCTGAGAGCTGATCAGAGTTAATGATCTTCTCAGCGAAGCTCGTTCTGCTCGTTAGTTTGTGCTGATGATGCAGTGATTCATTCACGTGACAGTACTGAGTAGGATGTGCTCATGAGGGTCGTTTCAGGATGCCAGTTCGTTCATATTAATGACAGATTTGAGTCACTTACCTAAACGAGTGTGAACCATTGTGTCAGACAGATCGGATTTGAGCAAAAAATCGGATTTGAACCATAAAACTTGTAATGTGAACGTAGCCTTAGAGTGATTCTCTCAGGGGTAACACTGTGATACAGGTCTCCAAACAGGTGCAGGAGCCCAAAGAGATCATGCATAAAAGTGCAAAAAAATTCCTCAAACATCCCCACAGTCTGCATCACAGATAATTTATGTATAACTCATGTCATTTGTAAACGTCATGATTAAATATTGGTTCATGTGTGCCTTACAAAGTAATGTTAATACCAGATTAGTTCACAATAACTATTAAGTAACAGTTACTAGACGTCTTATAAACTAATATGATCAAATATTATAAAGTGTTCCCTATTTTTTTAATAAAAAATATTCATGGATGAGACTATAAATCACATAGCGGTGTGTTTTTGTTACTCTAATACACCTGATAAGCTCTTACTGATACAAACTGCTGTCTGACTAAATCTTGCACACACTCAGAAAAACAATCCTAGTGCATCCAACAATAAAGGAAGCCTTATGCACCTTTTATATTGTGACTGGTGAAGGAATGATCTAAATCAATTCAGTGGACACAAGGCTGGTCCCCTGGTTCTGAGAGGGGAGGATTTAACATAGGAAACATGATAGCAAAGTGAGAGCTAAGCTAATATGTGTCACTCTGGCTGAGGTAAACATCTGAACTATTGTGCATTGCATGATTTACAGCAATCTTTGTGTGACTCTCTTTAGCTTCTCTCCTCACCACATCATCTCCATTCACATCAATGTGGACAGGACGAAACAAGCTACCACAGAACATCGAGTTGTCTCACATAAGTAAGTTCATCTGTATGCCCCCAAACACAACCTGCCTTTTTTCTTCAAACCACCATTTGTCACGTTATTCCACAGTTTGTCTAGTTCAGGGGCCTCAGACTTAGTTCTCTGCAGAGAGTAGTGTTTTGTCTCTTCTGACACTCTGAATAGCTGGCGTGTTGAATCTGGTGTGTTTAATGAGATTTCCAGTGCAGTGCTCCTTAGATGTATCACCATACATAGTTAGTTCTAATCCTAATCTAACATTTCTTGTTCAGTTAAGGATCATCTTAAGAAGTCCTCGATTAGTTTAGGTCAGTTTTGAGTTGGAAAGGAAATCTGCAAGATGGTTTAATTCCAGGAGGGGAGTTGCTGATCACTGCTCTCAAGTATGACTTTGCTAACTGGCACCTAAGTTCTAGAGAAAGAACAAAGTTGTGTGTCTGTGGTTGTTGTGTGCTAAAAGCAAGAGGCTGCACAAAGGAATAAATATATTCAGACAATTAATAACCGAGTTTATTGCAAAGCTGTTGGTGATTACAGCTTTGAGACATCTGTGGTAAGATAAAATTAGCTATTTGCAGCATTGTGGTTCAGTCGTCATGGCAAACCATCTTCATCTCCCCAAGTATACCATGGTCCATGTATACAATATTCCCTCAGTTTGCGATGGGATTCATGGCAGGGGATTGGCAAGCCCATGTAAGCACATTCACTTTCTTGTTGATAAGTCCGCCTTAATTCTTTTTTTTGGCTGTATCATTGACAAGGTTTGGGTGAAATTCATGAAATTATTTTGTCAGCCAATCGTGTGGCATCAGTGCATAAAATCATGCAGATGCAGGCCAGCAGTTTTAGGTAATGTTCACATCAACCATCAAAATAGAGAAGAAATGTGATCTCAGTGATTTTGACCGTGATATGATGCTGGTGATGTTGGACAGTATTTCTAAAACTGCTGATCTCCTGGGATTTTCAAACACAACGGTCACTAGAGTTACCCAGAATGGTCCAATAAAGAAACAAACATCCAGTGAGCGGCAGTTCTGTGAATGGAAATGTTTTGTTGATGAGAGAGGTCAGCAGAGAATGGCCTAACTGGTTTGAGCTGACAGAAAAGCTATGGTATCTCAGATAACCACTTTGTACAGTTGTGGTCAGCAGAACACCTTGAGACAAATGGTCTATAACAGCAGAAGACCACATTGGGTTCCACTTCTATCAGCCATGAACAGAAAGCTGGTCAGAATGTGGCACCAACAGCATGAATCCATGGACCCAGCCTCTTTTGTGTAACCAGTCCAGGCTGGTGGAGGTGGTGTAATGGTGTGGGAAATGTTTTCTTGGAACACTTTGGGCCTGTTAATACAAATCAATCATCGCTTGAATGCCACAGCCTATTTGAGTGTTGTTGTTGACCATGTGCATCCCTTCATGTCCACGATTTACCATCCTTTAATGGTTGCTTCCAGCATGATGATGCACCATGTCACAAAGTAAAAGTCAACTCGTTTCATGAACATGACAATGAGTTCAGTGTACTTCAGTGGCCTTCCCAGTGACCGAACCTGAATCCAACAGAACACCTTTGGGATTTGGTAGAACAAGAGATTTGCAGCATGAAAGCACATCTGAAAAATCTGCAGTAATTGCATAATGCCGTCTTGTTAACATGGACCGGAATCTCAAAGGAATGTTTCCTTGTGGAATTAATGCCATGAAAAACTGAGGCTCTTGTGAGAGCAAAGGGAGGCCCTACCCAGTCTTAGTATAGTGTTTCTAAATGTGTGTGGTTATTGTACATTAAATAAAAAAAGTGTATGAAGACTTGTTTTCCCTCACTTTATATGTAAATGCAATAAGGTACAATCCAAACTCACACTTATTTCAGATATATGCTCTTAGGGGTGCATCCACAGGCTGCTGACTGTACAGTGAGTAGGAGCTCTCTTAGTAATAGGGTAGGATGACCCACGTCCATACCGGGTTAACTCAACTGACAAGCACCACACCAAACACATTCATTTCTAAGTTTAGATCACTCCAGGGGACCATATTTTGTTTGTAGTCCTTCTTATATTTGATTTGTTTGTTAAATTATTCTTTCAGATCGATCTGCTTATCTTGGAGGCTCCCTGGCTGCAGTTGTGCTGTTGTGTGGAATCATGAGTGCCATCTTTGTTATGCTTAAGAGGAAAAATGCAAAAAGAGCAAAAGGTATTTTATAAAACACATATGCATTCTTACCTGCATATTAGTTGTATTTTTGTTTTGTAATTAAAAGCTGAAATACTTATTTCCGTAGACCCTACACTGCCAGGGACAAGCATCAAATCCAACAGGGTGAGTAGACAATGCCTTCTTTAACAGGATGTGCAATGTGTGTATGCCTGTGTATGTGAATCAGGGCTTCTGTTGTTCAATGAATACTGATATTTGACAGGTAAAAACAGTGCAAGACCAGCTTTTAAATAAATATAACCCTGCAGTCATGCCATTTTCTGCCGTTCTGGAGAAGACATCCCTCCTGTACTACCATTTTTTTTCCGAAGCACTGTCTAAATAGGTTTTATTTCATTATTAACAAGGGGCAACACACTTTTTTGCTGATCTAATATTTAGTAGAAACATTAGCTATTGCGATAAAGCAAAGACAAGTGGATTGAAATTCTCACAGGTTCACAGTTTGAGCTGCAGTGCTTCAGTTCAAAACTGCCTTTGTGATTCGCAAACAATTCAAACACTGCGCTACCTCAGCCCCAGTGTTATCATGTGACATTGTGGTCATGTTGTCACATTGTGGTCATATGGTTACTGACATTATCATGTGACTCACCTCCCTATTTGGATTCTGTGCTATTTCCAGGCTAGATTACTAACAGCATCCATCAGATTCTTTATTTTCTCCAATATTCGATCCAGCATTTTCTGATGATGCTGATCAGATATCAATACCCAACCGTCTCTAGTTTTAGGATCTTTGAATTAGCAGTAAATTTTTAATCCAATTCAGGTAAATTCAGTACAACGATATTGTTATTATACTGGTAAAGTATAACAAAAAGCTTTTGCATTGTTTTCTTGGTGTAACATGTATGGTAAACACAACAGTACAAAGACATACTTAGGACAGATACCATTAGTAGGTGATAACAAGGCATTATAAGTAGACAAAAAAATGTGCTAAATGATGGTAGTACTGGGAGATTCACTCGAAAGAGGCCCCGAATATTCTGTAATAACTCTCGCTAGGATGAAGGAATCTGAACGAAACAACATGCAATGTGCTCCTCAGTTTATGGAGCTTTGAACAAGCCAGGGTGCCCATGTGTCGAAGCGATGAGGTAGGCGCCGGACAGCCGTTCCAACGTTTAACCTCCGTTTGCATTCCGGGTGCAGACCCCCATACCCCTTCATGTGTGTGGCAGAAAATGGAAATCAATTCCAGCATTGCATGTAATGCAATCGATTACACATACGTCAAGATATGTAGCAATTTTTTGGTTCAGATTGCTTCATCCTAACAAGAGTTACAACAGAATATTCAGGGCCTCTTTCGAGTGAAACTCCCTGTAGTTTTGCACTTGTAGTGACTCATCACGTATTAGAGTCTATACCAACCCACGCATTACAGTCGACACATGCATGAATTGAATATTTCACAGTGTTATAAGAGTCTATGAATTACTGTTACAGTAGATGTAGCCATTTTTGCACAAGGTAGTCCCAACTGAATCCCATCTTACACTGATGTCCATTGACAGGAATGATAACGGATAACAGTGTAATAGGTACTGTTTTCTTGTTGCTTTCAGGACAGCTTCTTCGATGAGGACATTTTCCCAACAAATGCCAGCTCTTCGGCCACCAACCACAGGCCCGGATTCAGTCCTGTATGATACTCCAGACCCCAATCAACCCCTTCCCATCCATCAACCTCACTCAATCCTGAGACCGTCTGCAAGAGGCCAAGTTGCACGCCCTGAGTCTGTGGTGTATTACCTAATTAGCCTACCCAAAGCCCCTCCAGATGATGCAACACCTTTTGCTTCAGCAGAAACAACTTCCCTTCACTACGCCACTGCCAACTTTGTGCGAAGTTCACATGCAGTCAATGACAGTCCTGCCTTCAGCGGGAAGCCACGTGACGTCTACGCCACCATCCAGCAGCGCAAAGACGGTGATAGGGTGGCATCAGTGAGCTACTGCGAGACAGCTTCCGATGAAACTAGGCCTCTGTGACTCCGTGATTTCGGTGATCTTATCTTTAAGTGCAAGAAAATGATGGTTTGTGACAGAATAATCTGAATATACCTGAAACTGAAATTACTGTAAACACAAACCATAAATGGGTTCTCATCTCTGATTCGTCTTTCTGGCGCTCTGAGTTGAAATGGGAAGAGGCTAACCCCAGGAGGAAAAGGGCTCGCTGTTGTATAACCCAGGAAGTTTCAGAGGTTATCCACATTTACCAACTGAATCAACCTTTCCAGTTTCACACAGGCTTCTGTGACTCTACTCTTAGACGAACAGGAACTTCAGATAATAGTTGCAGGCCTACAAAAGGCCCAAAGCACATTGGGAAATGTAGTTCTGCACGTTAAAAATAAAAAATTAAATAAATGAATAGTAATATTGTTAATTTGATATGGCTAGAAACGGATATAATTTTAAATACATAACATCAAATTAGTGACTTGGTTATGGAATAGTTTAAAGATTATTTTATTTAATTTATTTATGTAAATGAAAGAGTTTGGCATAGTTTGCAACACTGTTTGTAGACAATATTTGCAAATGATGTCACAAACTCCCTCTCCTGGGTCTGCGCGGTACTGCACCTGACTAGTCATAGAGCACTTTGGGAAATGTAGTTGTGCACTTTGAAAAAATAAAAATAAATAAATAGTTATTGTTAGTTTGATATTGCTAGAAATGGATGTAGTTTTTAAGTACATAAGATCTGATTTGATTATGGGATGTTTTAACAATGTCATTTTTATTTTTGCTTATTTATCTGAATGAAAGAGTTTGGCATAGTTGGCAACACTGTTTGTAGACAATATTTGTAACCTCTACTAGCTCTGTCCATCACCTGAATCACATCAGAGGTCCATCTGTCCCTAATCCTGGACTTTTGTCTCTTGTACATGTCATCGCTGCCTATAAACAACAATCTCAAAACGGTAACTTTTGCAGAAGAAGACAAAAATCTTCTTTATTTTTAATAAGTCAATGTAAAGAGATTTAATTACAATTAGTTTTGTAGCATTTTTATTATTCATTACAACGTGAAGAGCAACTGTGTGGTCTGCGCCGTTTCCCCTGGGCCCTAAAGAACTCTGAGCCCAGACGGAACCCTGCAAAGACAGCAGGGAGAGGATGAAATGCGCAAGTGTGTAGGGGATGACGCACAAGTCCCAAGCACAGCCTCCTGGGCACAGCTTCTGCTCTCTGGTTTGTCCCCTGGGATCGAATGTGAGGCACATTACAGTGGCCTCGCTGCGGGACCAGAGGCAGTACTTGGGACTCACGCTATCCCCCACACCCTCCCAGATTTCATCCTCTCCCCGCTGTCTTTGTGGGGTTTCGTCTGGGCTTAGTGTTCGGGCTCCGCCTTCCTACTGGGCTCTCGTGGCCGTCATCAGGGCCCACAAACTGCTACACCCAAATGATATTGAAGAAAAAAAGAAGTATGTGTTTTTTTTTTCATAGCAATGATGAACTGGTGCTTTTCAGTGTGCTGTGTTGAGACTAAGTTTAAGCTGTTGTTTAGTTTTTGTTTGTATCACAGCTTTAATAATTTATGTCTGTGGTTTCTTTACTTTGTTTGGATATGTGTACATGCCTACTAGTTTCCTGAGCTCTCAGATTCCTTACAATAAAACTCTTGCACATGTATCCTCCCTCACTTCATTAATCATATCAAGTTTCAAAACCAACCATTCCACAGTCCATACAGTCCATATGGGGAATCTAAACTGCTAAAACAGACTGTTTTGAGTTCACTGTTTTTGTGATGTTGCGAAAACCAAAATATTTACATACATCCATCTATTCAGCTGCAGCAGTTTAGCCCCACCCATTCATACAGCCCAGACTCAAAGGCCAGTCAGAGCAGAGGTCATTTACATAATTATATCAGTGTTAGAGACAGAGTAACATAAACAACCTGTTTAATTCTAATGGGTAAAAGGAAGTTGGAAAATGATCATGTAAAATGAATTGTGACTTATGTTACAATAAACCACACAAACCTTATAAATGAATCTTAAAACAAAACAAAACAAAAAATCCTTCATTTCAGTTATGCTTGCGCTGAAAATATAAACATAACTAGCATTTTTCCAGAACAATCAATGAGCTTAATATCAATATAATGTTTTATTTTTGCAAATAACTTGTCGTGTTTAAAATTATGTTTGGTTAAATGTTTTTGTATTGTAACACATTTTGCAAAAAACAAACAAACAAACAAAAATAACAAAAAATGCAGTACCACCATAGCCCACTGGGGGGCAACAGCCTACAGGTTGAAATTGATCCTGTCCAGAATGGCCTAAGAAATATTATTTGTTTGTTGACGTTCATTGGTTCCAAAGTTCAAACATCCTCTGAGGGCAGATCAGAATTTTATTATCTCTATGTTTTAGTTTATGTTCATTTGACTTTGAGTTTAGAGAAGCACAGTGAATAACTTCACCATTGCTTCCAGTCACAATGCAAAGTCTGACTAAGACTATAATATAGTAATAATTAATAATATTTTAGGCTGTATATACAAACCACATTTCTGGAAAACAAGAATCTGTGATTTGTTAACCTTTATTTCACTGACAAAAGAACAAAGACTTCCAATGTTTTCTCTCACCAATTAATTAAATTTACAATTTAATGTCTGCAACAGACACAAAAAATTTGGGACAGAGGCATGTTTACCACTGTGTTACATCACCTTTCCTTTTAATTATACTTTTTAATCGTTTGGGAAATTAGCACACACACACTCTGTGTCTACAAAGCCACACTGTTTTAGCATATACATGAGGCCTGGCATTGTCTTACTGAAATAACCATGGACTTCCTAGGAAAAGACGCCAGCTTAATCCGCCATATCATGACAGATGTTTGCTTTTGTACCTTTCACTGATAAAAGTGTGGAAGGCCCATTTTATCTTTGCCAAAGAGAACTTGGTGGCTGTTTTCCCAAGAATAAGCTAAAATGTGGAAACACTTGGTCATAGCACACATTTAAACTGTCTTTCAGACTACCTGAAATAAGCTTGGGCCCAGAGAACTCAGCGGCGTTTCTGCATAGAATTGATGTATGGCTTTCTCATTGCAAAAAAAGTTCCAAGTCGTATTTCATGATGCAGCGGCAGACCGTTTGGTGACAATGGTCTTACAAAGTACTCCAATATTTAACACTGCAGCATGACAGTGTCTCATCCAATGCCATCTGAGTCACCATTTAATACAATATTGTGAAAAGAATCAGGGAATCTGAGAAATCTCTGGCTGTAAACCACTGTTGAATATGCGTGACCTTTGAGGCCTCAGATGGAATTTCATGAGAAACCATCATGCTACAGTGTTAAATATTAAATATAGCCTACATGAGAATTGGAACTTTATTATGCGAGGAGAAACCACATATCAGTTCTGTGCAGAAATGCTGCTGAGTTGTTTAGAGAGACATTTAGAGAGACATATGCTGCCATTGATATGACATCTTTTCCCGGAAAGTCCATGGCTATTTCAGAAAAACAATGCCAGGCCTCAACAGTGCTACAACAGTGTGTGTGCTTGACTGGCCTTCCTGCAGTCCAGACAATGACAACCACTGACTATTGTGCAGTGCTGACTATCGTCTCAACCCTTCTTTCTGGGTCTGCATGTTGCTACAGGCCACAACAAAGCAGCTCGTTTCAAATATTCTACAGACTGCCTGCTCAGGTGGGGTGATTTTAGACAAGGAAATAAAAAGATTGTTCAAATTCTGACCTCTATAGTGATCAGTTTTACAGAATAAAATGCTTCAGAAAAATGAAAGGTAACACTTTATTTTAAAGTCTGTAGTGTACTCCTTTGTTAGCCTACCCCTCTGGATGTAGCAACACATTTCACTTCAGCTGTAACAGCTTCCCTCCACTATGCCACTGTCAAATTTCACAAGGTCAGTGACGGTTCTGCCTTCAGCGGCAAGTCACGTGATGTCTACGCCACCATCCAGCAGAGCAAAGACAGTGATAGGTCGGCCAAAGCTCACCAGGTGGCATCAGTGAGCTACAGTCGGACAGCTTCCGATGAAACTAGGCCTCTGTGACTCGGTGGTTTCAGTAACCACTAATACGATTATCTTTAACTGCAAGAAAATGATGGTTTGTGAAGAAACAATGTAAACTGTATTTTTAACAGAATCGACCTGAAACTGAAATCACTAGAAACACTGAAACCATAAATGGGTTGTTGTATCTGATTCATCTTTCTGGGCTCTGATTCAAATGTAAAGAGGTTAACCTTAGAAAGAAAGGGCTTTCTATCAAATAACCCAGGAGGTTTCAGAGGTTATCCACATTTACCAAACAGTTTAATTGTTACAGTCCATGTTTATATCTGCAGGTCTTTTTGTGTCATTGACAAATTCTTACCACTGAGTTGGTATCAATTCTTGATTTAAAAAAAACAAATAGACAGCAATTAATGTTTAATTTCAGAGGCCAGTTTTAAACTGTGAGATGTGGTGTTCACGGGTGGTTTGTGAGGAGCTTCACTGTATGTTACTGAGATCAGCTGACACTATGTTCCAGTCTGCACTACAAAAATGATGGTGGCGGAGTTTGGCATGCTGAGAGTTAATCCAGCTTAATGGGAAAAAGCTAATGGTGTAACTTAGCTTTCTAAAGATGAGATAATGTTGAGATATTATGATAGTATGCTAGTAAAAGGAGAGCTCACATGCAATGAGAAGAGTCCTAATTCGCTGCACACATAAATGATCTAATCAAGGCTGGTTAAAACAAAGCATAAATGTATACAATATGCAATAAACTCTACAGACTTTGAGTGTTCTTTAACTATGCTCTGCTCAGATATTAAGAGTTCAGGATATTTTCGCAGTTCCTTGAAGGATGAAAGTCATCGTCCAGAGTTGCTGGGAATGTCCGATTATCTGGATGTGGATCCAGGAAAAGAGTCTGGTCTGCACTTTCAAATAAAGGACTCGATTACTTTACTTTTCTAGACCTCTGACCCTTAAAATGATGGTGGTTCTTTAGTAAAGAAATGGTTTTATGTAGAACTATGAACACTCAAAAACTGATGAAAGGGTTCTTTGCATTGTGGAAGGGTTCTTCAGAATGTGCCGTAGATGGTTCCAGAAGAGGGACCAGAGGGAAAGAAGAACCATGGGGAGTTCTTTTAACACATGGGGGCACTGAACATGCCCTTTTTACTTCTTTGAATGGAAGCTTGCTTCAAGCATTTCCGGCAGTACTGATACCTACTGGTCAGCATGTCCACTTTAGTTATGGTCTTGCAAACTCTTTAATAAAAATGTTTGAACATAATAAGTTCCTTCTAAGCCATTTCCAGGTCATGTAAGTATTTGGTAAGGTATGGATAATTCATAATGAGTATGTTCCATTGTAGTTTTCATCTTGCAAATTCATTAATAATCTTTTAAATCTCTTCCTGTAATCATCATACAGACCATACAGATGGCTTTAGACCCTTTCTATGCTTCAATGCCTGCCATGAAATGTGACCATTCACTAGCATTTGCTACCATGTTTGGTCATTGGGAATTCAGATCATTATTACCTGTTCATATCCCTTGATTAACCTACACTATGTGGCCAAAAGTATGTGGACACCCCTCCTGATTATTGAGATCAGTGTTTCAGACACACTCATTGCTAATATGTGTAAAATCAAGCACACAGCCATGCAATCTCCATAGACAAACACTGGCAGTTGAATGGGTCATGCTGAAGAGTTCAGTGACTAGGCATGGCGCTGTCATAGAATGCTTTCTAACCATAAGAGCTTTTATTTTGAAATGGACGCATCTAGGAGCAACAACAGCTCAACCACAAAGTACTAAACCAAAGTGCTGAAGCAAGTAGCATGTAAAAATGGCCTGTCCTATGTTGCATCATTCAGTACAGAGTTCCAAACTGCCTCCGGAAGCAACATCAGCACAAAAACTGTGCATCAAAAAAAGTGCAGTTTATGAAATGGGTTTCCATGGCTGAGCAGCCTAATATCACTATGTGAAATGTCAGGTTTCAGCTGGAGTGGTGCAAAGCATGTTGCCACTGGACTCTGGAGTAGTAGTGACATCTTCTCTGGAGTGATGAATCATGTTTCACTATCTGGACAAATCTGGGTTTGACCAATGCCAGAAGGACACTACTTACCAAAATATATAGTGCCAGCAGTAAAGTTTGGTGGAGGAGGCATAATGGGCTGCTGTTTTTCAGGGTTTGGTCCCCTTAGTTCCAATAAGGGGGTGTTAATGCTACAGCACAAATACATAGTTTGACTAGTTTGGTGTGGAGGAACTCCAGTGGCCTGTACAGAGCCCTGATCACACCCCCACTGAACACAAGATGAACTGGAAGGTTGATTGTGAGCCAGGCCCTCTTGTCTAACATTAATGCGTTACCTCATCTGCTCTTTTGAGTGAATGGGACACGCTCCAAAATCTTCTGGAAAGCTTAAAAAAGAGTGCAGGCTGTCATTGCCACAAAGAAGCGGTCAACTCCGTATTAATGCCCATAGTTTTGGGATGAGATGTCCATCAAGCTCATGTAGGTGTGATCCTCATATAGGCCATATAGTGTATCACAAAGATATTTCAAGAATGCATGCAACTTAAACTTTAAGATTGATTAGCATTTAACTTCTTAGTCTACAAACAGTTAATAACAAACTTTATTCATACATCATATAAACACAGTTATACCACATTTCTAAGCTTGCTTACACATTACATTGCCCTATTTAAAAGGCCTTATTAACTGCTTGCTAAAAATGTAGTCTTCGTTAAGAAGCAGACCTGAGCTAAAATGCAGGAAGTAGGTCACTACATGTTGATATTGGAGAAGTTGTTCAGTTGAAGTGACATATACCACTGCCATAGCAACAACACCACAATAGCAACATTATCAACCTGAGTAATACAGCAGGACCAACTCTCTATCATTTCTATCAAGGTCTCAACATTCAGTTAGCTTGGTTTTGGGGTCTGAGAGTCCAACAGCAGGTCACCTGACTTGTTATGGTTAATTAAACTTTTGTATTCATGTAATGTATGAATTACAAACGTTTGTTCAAACTACTGCAGCATGCAGTAACCCAAAGAGTAAGATACTGAGCGAGTAGTGTGCACAGGAAGTGGTCTGCTTGGAGAAACATGAAATGTGATTCAAAAAAAGGAAGTGGTTAATAGCTAGATGCTATATTTTGCCTAAGCTTATTAGAGGAGTATATTTACTGACATTTGAAGCAGTATACATACTGTGCAGAGCAGTGGCCTCCAAACCTAGTCCATAGAGTATCCAATAAGCTGCCCCACCCCTTATTTAACTCTAATATGGATCCAGCCTATCGGGCACAAGGGATAAGGTTGATTAGCTGCAGCAAGTGTGGCAAATTGTGGTTGGAACTGGGCTCTGCAGTAAGGTAGATATCCAGGACCAGATTAGAGACCTCTGGGGTACAGTATAATGAATCACTTCATAGTATCATTAACTGTCACCATCATGTCCACCACCACAGGACTGCCTACATTTTCAGGCCTTTTTGCTTCACCAGCAGCTTTTGGCCTGCTTGCTTTTGCTTGATTTTTGCTTGTTTGCTCTTGGATACTCTGATTGTTTGGTCTTTTGACTTGTTGAATTCTTTTTACTCTGAGATCAGATCGAATCAAATCACGTTTATTGTCACATTTTTTTAGCGCCCATATAGAATTTAAATACAAAAAAATATATAAATATCTAAGAAGAAAAAGAAAAATATATACACCGACTCTGAATATACACATATACACAATATACACTAGTATTCCACTTCTCCAATGTACAGTTGTACAGTAATAAGTTATGAAATAAAACCATGAAATGTGCTGTTGTACACATTCTGTTAGTCTGAGGTAGATAAATAAATGAGATGCAGGTACACAGGGGATAGGATACTGATATAGAAATCTTCCAGATAGTACAAGATATGAACGGAAGATGTACAAGATGTCCGTCCATGTGCGTAAGTACAGATTTGCTAGATTGAAGGTGCAGAGGATCAGAGTGAGTCTGATGAGATGTGGATGAAGTGTAGATTGTCCTTGGAGATGATGACTCAGAGGTGCAGTGACAGGCCTATAGACCAATACACCAGCACTACTGGCTGTTCAGCAACCTGATGGCCTGGGGGAACAAACTGTCTCGGAACTGGCTGGTTCTGGACTTTATGCTTCTGTATCTCATCCCGCTCAGCGGCTCTGAGAACAGACAGTGGCTTGGGTGGGAGGAGTCCTTTAGAATCCTCCTGGTCTTCCTCAGGCAGCGGCTGGTGTATAAATCCAGAAGGTTTGGGAGCTGGACCCCGGTGATGTGCTGGGCTGTCCGCACCACCCTCTGCAGACCTTTCCGCTCAATGGCAGTGCAGTTTCCATACCAGGAGGTGATGGAGCTGTTAGAATGCTCTCCACAGATTAGCATGACCTATTTGAAACTCCTTAGCCTCTTGTGTATTTTGTAACTCAGCTTCACTTGGGGCTCTATACTAAGTTTCAGCTTCACAAAACCTAACAAGCCAATCTTGTGAAACATAAGGAGTCGAGGAATAGAAGTACTTTAATATGTAGAAAGTAAAGCATGTATAACAGTAAAAGGCAGCACTGTGAAAGATGGTGCTTTATGGATTGCTTTATATCTTCAATATTCAATATGATTTGCTTCCTCTGCTAGAAAGTGATATTCCTGTCATGAGTGAACCCACAAACCTCACAATAAAGTCACCAGAGGGGTCCACCTCCATCATCCCTAATTGGTTTAAAAGGCCTGATTGGTCCAAGAGCTGTTTATGATCCAAACCCTTGAACTTATCCTTCCCAGTTAAAGGCACAATATGGAAGATGATGCAACTTTTCCAATTCATACTCAACAATCCAAACAAACAGGGAGCAACATATCACCAGAAAGGTGTGGTGTCCACTCTTATCATAAGAAACAAGGAAATGCATAATACCTTCTCCTCCCTCTTCACTCCTCCCCCTCCTTACCAGTCCAGAAGAAATGTTGCAAGTTCAGCATCACACTTTATACCTTTCTTCACCAAGAGCTCCAGTCTCCAGTGGTGCAAAGCAGTCCCAACGTTAACTCATATTTCACTTCTATTTATATCACATCTTTTCCTTGCCTCCGAATGTTGAGTCTTGCCGGGAGTGGGCAGCAGTTGCAATAAAGGTCACTTGCCAAGAGCTTCAGCTATCATTGCATTTAGAATCAGAATCAGAATCAAGCCTTACCACAAGCCTTGGCCAGATATGCTTTGGTTTTGGTTATAGGAGCTCACAGTGCACAGCATCAGACAAACATTTACGTGTAGTGAATAAAATAAAATAAAATAACATAAGCATTCCTACCATCACTCTCTCTCTCTCTCTCTCTCTCTCTCTCTCTCTCTCTCTCTCTCTCTCACAGACACACACACACACAGTCATACCTGTAAACCTTACAATGTGTCTTATATTAAAGTGCTGAGTGCAGCACCAGGTAAAGGGTGTATAGTGGTAAAGAAAGGGATAACTCTCAGTCAACTAGATATAGGC